TAGCAGCAACCCTTCAGATCAAGTTCATGTTGGATTCCTCCACCTGGGAGCTGACCCACACGGCATGGCAGACCTCTCCTGCCTCTCACTGCTCCCTTCAGCTTTGTACTTCATCCATCTGCCTGTTCTGCTCCCCACTCTGTCTCTGGTGAATCCTCTCACCGTCTCTGCACCACTGGCCTGTACCCTAGATCTGTATGCATAAATAAATAAATCTTTAAAAAAGTTGTGTTTTTTTTTTTTTTTAAGAAGAAGCAACTCAAATGTCCTTCAACGGATGACCTCCAAGCCATGCTGCCTCTATCTAAAGCCCAGCTTTCAAAGCACAGCCAGTCAGGAACCCTGAGAAGTCAGCACCAGGAACAGCTGACAACCTCTCTTCCTTTGTCCAACATTATACAAAAGTCTCTCAACAACTTCTTTCTTTGACAAGGGATAAAACATGGAGGGAAAGGATACTCCTAAGAGCAAGAGACAGGCTTCCCTGAGCTATTTTTCCTCTAGTGTGGGATGATCTGTGTTTCAGAGGACGCTTACTCTGTATGTTTCTGATTTATTTACACTTAGCACATCAATGTGTTGTTTGTGCAAGAACTATTTGATGTCCAAGTAACCCTCTGGGCCTCTTAAAGGTTTTCTTTTTCTTTTTTCATTTGAACCAGAGAACTGAACTTTGCCAAAAGTAAATGGAACTCAGATATCAAAGGTCTGAGTTCAGTTTTCATTGAATACAAAGGGTGAGTGGATTCTGAACTTGGCCAAGTGTGTTCTCCCACCCTTAATTTACAGTACATTGTTTTGGCACTTCTGAAAGTTGGCTTTTCTTCTTCCATTCCTTTCTAGGGTGTAACTACAAGCCTATCTCTCAGTTAACTTTATAAAAACATAGGCCATATTATAAAAATTTATGAGTGCTTCATTCAGCACTATCTCTACAACTATCAGCTTTACTAAAACAGATCAAAACATCTGAAAAAAAAAGTTAAAACCATCCTATAAAGTTGCAGTTTCCTTTCATACCCTATAGGAATTTCTATTTTTTCTGTGTTCTCATCTGGGGGTTTCTCGGAGGGGATATTCCCATTACCCTCATCAGTAGTCAGACAGTATTAGCCAGTTTTCAAGTTGAATACTGGAGGGTCACTCTTATTTTTGATGCTCAGATTGGGAAGATGGAAGAGGTTCTATGCTCTGTTTTCCAAGGAGAAAAGATCAGAGAAATGATTAGCAATCTGAGTTTTTTCAATTAAAAATTATCTCAGAAAAATGAAGAAGCAGCACAAAATTAAGATGACCCCAAACTTACTACAAACTTGAAGTAAGCAGAGTTAATTAACATTTGGTGGGTCGTTTCCCTTATCTTTGAAAATCTGTGTCATATGTGTATATATATACACACACACACATACAAACAAGTACACATTTATGTATAATATATAAATATAAAAAACAGATATTACATTATTTTATAATCTATTTTCCATCCATTAGTTCCTGATTATATTAATAAAGTTATATTAATATAATATAACTTTGTACTAAAATTCAATCATATGCTTATTGAAATGATTCAGTGAGGAGTCTTTTGATTGCAAGTGACAGAAAATCTATGTCAAATTGACTTTAATATAAAAGGACACTTTTTTGGCTGATATCTGAGAAGTCCAGTGGGAGATTAGTCTTCAGATGTGGTTCAAATAATGGATTCAGGCTTCCAATAATGTCATGAGGTTTCTGTTTCCCTTCCGAGGCAGCAGTGGTAACTGCAGCATTTTCTGTCTCTGTTCTTGCCTGGCAGGTGAGCCCCTGTCTCTGCTCAGACATTCACCAGGGACATTTCATTGCACTGGCTCAACAGTTTTTCTCTGAGCCTATCATTCTGGCGTGTTCTGGGTCACAGAAGACTCTGGGAATCAAAGTGTTTCACCTGGGTTATACAGAGAGTGAGGAAAGGGGGGATCCAGTGATGGGTTTTTACTGGCGATTAGGAGGTGGTTACCAGCTGGAGATGAAATGAGTTGAATGGTGAAAAGAATGGTATTCCACATGGGTATGCACAACTTGTTTTGTATTACGTTTCCTCGGGCTTTTGTACCAAAGTACCACACATTGGGGAACTTAAGTGGAAATTTGTTCTTTCACACATCTGGAGGCTGGAAGTTCAACATCAAGGAATCTTCAGGGTGTGTTCCTTCGGGGGCCATTTAGGAGAATCTGCTCCGTGCTTTTCTCGTAGTGTCTTATGTTTGCTGGCAGTCTTTGGCGTTCCTTGACTTGCAGCCACATCATACTGATTTCTGCCTTCAGCTCATGTGGCATTCTTTCTGTGTCCAGATTTCTCCCTATGGACACCAGTCATGGGTTTCAGCCCCTCCTACTCGATATTATCTTAACTAATTACATCTAATTGCAACAGCCCTATTTCCAGATACTATCACATTTTGAGGTCCTGATGGTTGGGGTTTCAGTATATGAGTTGAGGTTGGGATCACATCCACTCATAGTGGTTTCCACACACTAAATGTTTCTGGCTTATCTAAGATCCATCCAGTCTGACTTTAAATGATGAATCTGGCTGCCTCTCCCTTTCTACCACATACCTAGCAGACTGGATGCAATTTTAAAAAAAAATATAATAGTTTATTTTAAAATCATTTTGTGGCCTTTTCCATCTCAGTTGTAATCCCCGTGGACTTTGCATCAACAAATCACCTGTGTGCCATCACCATATCACCATAGTCCATTGCACTTCACCCCACTTTTGATCCTATTCCCCACTCCACCCCTGTAAAATGTCTCTGGAATATAGTTGTTTATTATTATTATTTATATTATTGTTTTCCCCCCTGGTCCTTTATGCTCCTTCTGTAAGTGAAACCATCTGGTATTTTTCTTTTTCTTTCTGGCTTATTTCACTAAGCATGATCCCTCCAGCTCCATCCAAAAGGCATGTGTTTATCTTTTTTTTTTCTGCTGAGTAATATTCCATTGTGTATCTGTACCACATATACACTGGACACAATTTAACCACCAGTGTTCAGGGAACTAGGAATCCATCCACTGCCTGATGTACTCCACAGTGCTACTATTTCCTAACTTGTGGATTTAGGACTCATTCTCCTCAACCTAAGGAATGAGGATGCCATCCTTCACTCACTGGGTAGCTGTAGGCCAGGCACATAGTGCTCAGTGAATGTTAGTCAACGTGACTGTTCTGTCTCTTCAAATGTGTATGAACAGTTCTCACCTGCTAGGGACAATTGGGCTCATCGTTCTCAGATTCTGCCAGAAGAAGTTCAAGAGGGGGTGAGCTGTTTCATTAGCATGCCAACAGGAATTCGAATGGAGTTAAAGGAACACCAAGTGTTTCTTTTTTTCTCCCCTGAAGCCAGTGGGCATAAATTCAGAGCTGACTCCAAGGCAGTGAGGTCTATGGATGCCACTTCTCTCGTGTGCTCTTTCTCTCTTTTTTCTCTTAAAATTTGACCTATCCTATGGTCTCGCAGATGCGCACTGGAGCCATTCATTTTATTTACAATCTCTTTTGCACACCATTAATTTGGGAAAGTGAAAGACATCTGCTGTTTTCTAAGGCACCACATCTTTTAATTTCTTTTGACTTTTAAAAATTAGAACTAATTTACTTTGTCTAATGATTATTGAATAAAACTAGAATGCCAAGCTCTTGCAGGGAGCAGAATCTATTTGATACAGGTGTATTAGGCCTCCACCAAGATCAAACCAAGAGATACAGATCACCTTTAAAAATGTGGTCGTTTTGGTTTAGCAAATATTTCCTAAGTGCTGACTAAAACTGAGTCTAGAGTATATACTGGGGGACAGTTATTCATACAGACAATATTTAAAGATAACTTACTACATGTTCAGTATTATCATTTAAAAAAACAAAAAGACAATTCTTGCACAGATAGGTATTGTGTGGGTGTGTTTGTGGAGGCAGAATCCAATACATATAAGTAAATTTTTATTATGTTAAAATTTGGTAGGTATTCTGAAAAAAAAAATAGGGGGGTTGGTTATGTTTGGGGGCTTACAATTTTAAACAGGGAGTGAGAGTAGGTTTCATTGAGAAGGTAATCTGAGCAAAAACTTGAAGGCCAGGTGGAAGATAAGTGAGGGAGCCTGATATTTGAGGAACAGCAAGTCTCAAGACCTTGGGGCATGTGTGCCTGTGCCCTGTTTTCAAGGACGTTAAGGAAGCCAGTTTAACTTGTGCAGGAGTTAGGTGAGAAGCCTTAGGAGATGGGATTGGGGGAGATAGAGTAAAACGAGGTGCCATCCCACAGTGCAAAGCAGACAAGTGACATGTCTTAGATTTCAAAGCAACCACTTGGCTGCTGCCTTTAGGCTAGACCGTGCAGGTGCTGGACAGAAGCCCATGGGTCTTGTAAGCACAGCAGTAGTGACCACCACCAGAGTAGCCCCCAAGACCAAGCCCAGAGGCCCACGGGCACCAGAGATCATGTTAACTCTGAAGAGCCTATTAGGTATCCAAGTGGAGCCAGCGGCTGGATTTTGAAGCTTCCTGGAGAAGTGATTTTGGAGTCACCTCTAAAACCACAGTGAGTGCCTTGCTAGGTTTTTCTCCAACGGGCCACGTTCTTTTCCCTCCGTCTTCCCCAAGGCCAGAACACCCCAGGAGGGCTCGTGCCATAGCCCCTTCAGTCTGCAAAGCCCTTCTTTCCTCTTTGGGGAATGGTGGGGAAAGTGAACAGAAGTGGGGAACTGCGGCACCCTGCCCCTCCCCTTCGGCAGAAAGGCTGGAGCTGTGGGAACGGAAGCTCCGTCCCGCTTCCCGCCCCCAGCCCGGGGACCAGCGTCCCGAGAGCCCCGGGCGGGGCCTGCGGGCTGGGGGCGGGGTCTGGGACGGGGCCCGAGGGCGGGGCGGTGGGGTTTAGGGGCGGGGTCTGAGGCGGGCCGCGACGAGAGCGCACGCCACAGAAGGGGGCGTGGCCCGCCTCAAGTGCGCCGCCGCCTGCGCCGCGGCCTGCACGCTTCCCCCCCTCTCCCTCCCTCCTGCGGTGCCGCGAGTGATCAGCTGGTCTGCGCTTCCCTGACGTGGGCCGGGGCACGTCACCGCCGAATGGCAGCCTCCAGAAAGGCACCGCGAGTAAGGTGAGGGGACTCAGCCGGCGAGCCGGCGTCCGGGCAGCGCGCGGCCCTCCAGGCCCGGGCGCGCGTGCTGCGCCCGGGAGGGCAGGGGCCCGCGGGAAAGGCCCCGCGAGCGGATCCAACCCAGTTTGGCGAGCATCGGAGCTGGCCAGAGCCCCCGGAGCGGGAGCAGGGGGAGGGAGCCATGCAGCCGGGCAAGTTCCGCTTCGTTTCCGGCTGGGCCGCAGGCACCCCCAGCAGATCGAGCCCGTCTCGGGACAAATGTGTTCTCCGAGCTGCCGCGCTGGGCTCGGGGGCACGGTGGCCATTGCCGACCCCCGCCCTCCCAGCCCGGTGGACAGGCAGGCCCGTTGTTGCGGGAAGTTGGTCCCTCCTGGCCCCTTCTGCGTGCCTGGGAGATGGATGAGCCCCTGTGCTTGTTCCACATCCCGGAAATGAAGCCCTCAAATTACAACCCTGACCCCTGCAGTTCACCTTGCTAATCTGTCACCGCCGCAGAGATCGGCGGCCCAGGACCCCTCCCCACCCACGTGGCTTCAGACGGTAAAGGAATATAATACTTCGGTACGATCTCCGGGAAGACCCATCAGCAGCCAGCCCTGGGCCCTCCTCCCTGTTACCGTGATGAGGGCGCACCAGCCCTCACCTGCAGCCCTCACATTAAACACAGTGCAGCCTCTTCCTGTCTATCCCCGGTGAACTTCTCAGATCAGCTAACAGTGGGAGATGGAGAGATTTTCTTCAGAGTTCACAAAGATTAGAAGCCAAACTCCCGGAGCATCCTGACAAGGGCAGGCACCCCCTGTCTCCTTGAGGCGTGATGAATACTTGGCTTTATGGCCAGGCTCACTTGCTGAACACAGACCATGGCTTGAGCAGCTCTTTGTGAGTGGGCAGATCTCAAGCCGACTTGGCCACAGCATGTTAGAAATGAGTGAAAACAAAACCTGTGGGGTGGAAGGGTGTGGTGAGATGTAGCAAACCTGCACTTGGCAGGGACTCTCTGTATGTTAAAGGCTGGAGATAGTGTCAGGCAAGTGGATATAGGTGTAGGTCCTAGGTAGAGAAGCGGCCTGTAAAGATCAGGGTGGTCTTTGCTAGATTCATAGAGTCACAAGATTGGGGGGGGGGGCTGAAGGGTCATTAAACATTAACAGGTAGAGCCTCCTTCCCTCACACAAAAGGCAGCTGAGAGAATGAGAGAAGGGGGGCCTTTGCCCCTGGTGCCTCCCCTCCAGGCAGAATTTGAGTGCCATTCACTATAAAAGAGGAGGACTTCTTTCACTTTAGATGATGGAAACTGAACTTAAGCAGGAAACTTACCCGACTTAAGTAAAAAGGGTTTAGCTTGCTGTGAGAGCAGCTGGGTCCAGAAGACCAACAGCATTGGCTTCTTTTACATCCCTTGGCTCTGATTTCTTTAGTGTTGGCTTCCTTGTCAGGCAGACTTTCTCCTTAGGGTGGTATGGCACTGTAGGCTGACAGTTCCGGCAGAAAGAGTCTTCTTACCAAATGGTTGGAGTAGAAATCCTAGACCTGATTTCTTTTGGGCTAACTTGATCCTGTGCCCATCCCTGAACCAGTCATTGTGACTGGAGGGTTGGATTGACCAGACCTGGGTTCCAGAAGTTGGTGGGTGAGACACATCCCGACTTTGTGGACTGAAAATGAAGAGACCCAAGGTGCCCTGATCAAAAGATGGAGGGATGAATTCTGGGTAGGCAAAGGCTGTATCACCCTAGAACATGTTCTGGCCTGCCTTTGTCTCCCTTTGCAAGTCATGTTGAGCATCCTGTCCTTGTTTTACCCTTGTCTCTTGTTGTCTGACAGAAACAGTAAGAGCCTCATCATGGACTGAAGGAGGGGGAAGGTAACTAGCCTCCTGCAGGCATTTCTTTAAATCAGGAAGGGAGAAAAATATGCCATAACCATTTTGTGCAAAGATCAAATACAAAGTTCTCTGCATTCTCCTTTTCCTCACATGTCTCATGGTGTATCACTCTGTTGAGAAGATACAAGCACGTGAAGTCTTGAAGTCCTAGGACAGGCAAGAGCACGGAGCTGGAAAGTTGGGAGGCCTGAACTCTGGTGTTTGCCTTGCTCTGCCCCAAATAACTGAGGCCCTTGAGCCAAGTAAAGCTGATCTCTGTTTCTCAGTTTCTTTGCCTAGAGGAAGAAGCTGAGTTGGATGAGTCCCTGAAGTACACGTTATAACCTTGCTTTGACCCCGAGCCTGTTCCCCTAAGTGAGGGGTGGATGGAGCTTGGTCTCTGTATGGACACCAGGGTATGACAGGTGTAGTTACTTCATGGAAGCTTTGATCCGGACAGGAAGGTGGAGGAGGTGGTTGGTGCTTACTGGGAGAACTTGAACTCAGCTTCTTTGTGAACCTTTGTCAGCCTTGGTTTCTGGCTGTGGCTCTGCAGCTACTGAGGTGTATGACCTGTGGCAGGTCATCATGTTCCTTGTTTTCTCAAGTGGATCACTAGGGCCTCCTCTGAATAAGCTCCCTCCAGCTTTCTAGCCTTGTGTCTTACCTGTTACTGAGTATATAGAGTAACTGACTTCCATGGTTCCCCATTTTGTAAATGAGCATCTGAAGGCGAGGGCAATCAACTGAGAATGTGATTTCTGTCAGTCCAAGAAAAAGAACTTCTTTATTTTGTAAAAGATATAATTCATGTACCACACAATTTGTTTATTAAAATATACATATAATTCACTGGTTTTTAGAATATTCAGAGTTCACCCATCATCACAGTCAATTTCAGGACATTTCTATCCCTTCCCAAAAGAAGCCCTGTACATCTAGCAGTCTCTCCTCTTTTTCCCAGCTCCCTGTCAGCTCTGGGCAGCTGCTAATCTGCCTTCTGTGTCTGTAGTTTGCCCAGCTCTGGACATTCCATAGGGAATCTTACAATCTAGGATTTTCTGTGACTGGCTTTTTTCACTTTGCATACAATGTTTTCAAGGCTTACTATGTTGTAGCATGTATTAATACTTCTATTGCCAAATAACATGGGCAGTGTTATTGTCTGGATGGGCCACTTTATTCTTTTGTCAGTTGATGGCATTTGGGTGGCTTCTGCTTTTTTGGCTATTCTGAATAATGCTGCTATGAACACTGTGTGCACATTTTTATGTGGACTTAAGTCTTCATTTTTCGTGGGTCTGCACCCGGGGGCGGGGTTGCTAGGTCATTGTTTAACTGTTTAACCTTGTGAGGAACATAGGACTGTTGTCCAAAGCCCCCACCCCATTTTAGGTGTAGGGGTCCAGTTTTTCACATCGTTGCCTGTATTTGTTACTGTCTTTCTTTTGACGATAACCTTCCTAGTGGAGGTGAAGTGGCCTCTTCTTGTGATTGTCGTTAGCATTTCCCTAGTGACTAATGATGCTGAAAATATTTCCATGTGCTTTGTGGCCATTTGTTCACTTCCTTATGGTAAATGTCCATTCAGATCCTGACCATTTTAAAATTGGGCTGTGCTTATTATAGTTGTAATAGTTCTTTATGTAAATCTGGATAGTTGGCTCTTGCCAGATGGATGAGCTGCAGATGTTTTCTTTTCACTTTATTTTTGTTATCCTTTGAAGCTCATAAATCTTTGATTTACTGAAGTCCAGTGTATCTGTTTTCTTCGGTTGCTTGTGTTTTGATGTAATGACTAAGGCATGAATGCCTAATTCATTGTCAGGCAGATTCATTTCTATCTTTTCTTCTAAGAAAACATTTATGTCTTTTTGATTCCTTTTGAGTTAATGTTTGCTCTTGGTAGGAGGGAGGAGGTTCAGATCCATTCTTTTGCATGTGGATATACAGTTGTCCCAGTATCATTTGTTGTAGAGACCTTTATTATCTTCACTGAATGATTTTGTTACTCTTCCCTGACAGTAAATATGAGGGTTTATTTCTAACTTCTCAGTTCTATTTTATTGATCTATGCCAGTACCTTATGCCAGTCCCACATTGTCTTGATTACTGTAGTTTTATTAGTTTTGAATTTGAGGCAGGGTGAGGAAAGTTTTGGGGGGTTAGGAGGGGTGGAGGGATGTGGGTTGGTGGAGTGTGGGGATGTGGGGTATGATGACCTACCAGTTTGCCCCTTTTCAAGATTGTTTTGGCTGTTCCAGAATCCTTGCATTTCCATATGAATTTTGGGATCTGCTTGTCAAGTTCTTCAGATGCTAGGTGAAATTTAATAGAAATTGTATTGTGTTTGTAGGTTATTTTGAGTATTGCCATTTTAGTGATGTTAAGTCTTCCAGTCCATGAAAACTTATTTTTCATTTTATTTAGACATTTAATTTTTTTTTTTTAAAAACTGTTTTGTAGTTTTCTGAATATAAATCTTATACTTTTTTGTTGCTATTGTTAAACTCATTCCTAGGTATTTCATTATGTTGATGCCATTATAAATAAAGTTTTCTTATTTCATTTGGGGACTGTTTATTGCAAGTACAGTTCACCCTTAAAAAACATGGGTTTGGACTTCATGGGTCCACAGATACTCATATTTTTCTATCTGAGGGTTCTGCATTCTTGTAGCTGATATTGGTTGGTTGAATTCCCTGGTTGTGGAATTCACTGAAACTGAATACAAAGGATAGTCTGTATGTGGATTTGGGCTGGGTGGGGTGGAGTTGGCGCTCCTGATCCATGCTACTTTGTTGAAGGGTCAACTGTGTATTGGAATATGATTGATTTTTGTATATTGATTTTTGTATCCTGTGTTCTTTGATAAGCTCATTTATTATAATTATTTTGTGTGGATTCTTTTCTATGTTTGAAGACTTCCTATATCAAACAATAGTTCTTTTCTAATTTGGATACCTTTTATTTCACTTTCCTGCCTAATTGCTATAGAAAGAACCTCCCATACAGTGTTGAATAGAATTAGCAAGAATGGACATCTCTTTTATGTTGATCTTAGAAAGACCATATTTATGGTCTAACATTCAGGATGATGTAACTATGCATTTTATAATAATCTTGATCAGGCTGAGAAATTTCTGTTCTTCTAGTGTATTGAGTACCTGTATCATAAAGGATTTTGTCAAATGCTTTTTCTGTGCCGATTAAAGTGAGCTTTTTCTGTGCCTATTATTCTTTATTGACATTGTATTTTACATTTTTTTTTTATACTTTGAATCAGTCTTAGACTTCTGGGATAAATCCCACTAAGTACGATTCTCTTTGCTGGGTTTAGTTTGCTGGCATGTTGTTGAGGCTACTTGTGTTACATTGAGGTCTTACTCTTTTTTTTTTTTGCTTAAATACTGAAAAACTAAAGTAGCAGCCATCTGAGGGCAGGCAGGCCTGGACTGCCTAGCAAAAAGGCTGGTCGCTGCTTCTGACTGGGGTAGACTGAGCTAATGTGGATCCCTCTCTCTCTGCTACAGAAATGTAGTTGAATGATAACAAAATTACTTTTATGTTCATAGCTGACTAAAATCCAGAAACCTTTCTATTGCCTGCATCCCCCTTATTTAGGGTAACTGGTAAACTGAATTGGGGGAAGTAGTTGAACAACACAGTTCTTTATACCTGGGGTGCAGGGTAACAGATTATCTTCACATGGGACAGGAGATTTGTGTGTGAATCTCCTAGCTAAGAAATTGAAAGGAAAATTTAGTCTCAGACACAAAAAATAGTGACATTATTGCTTATGCTATCCAGAACATGTCTCACTCACTTAGATAAAGTAGTCTCTGGAAGATAAGCTTTTTGTAAAAGATTACAAAACATAGAAGGAATGGCCCATCATGAGGGAGCCAACTGACCCAGCCAATTTGAGGATTATTGTTTAGGATTTTCTAAGGGAAAGTATAAAGTGGATTGTAAAGTAAGGACCCCAGATAATTAAGATGTTAAGAGAAGGAATAGAGACCATAGGACCCCATGATGAGAGAACAGGAAAATTGAAAGAGGACCAAGTGGAATTTGTACATGTGAAAAATTAGTCACAGCTGAAAAGAATGCATGAATTAAGGCACAGCCTCAAAAGGCTTACCTGCCATGGTGATCGTTTATCTGTAAGTTTTAATTGAGATTGTTCCTTAGTCACTGGTCCTGGGGTGAAGGTTCTTCATACTCAGAAGCAAAACTGCTAAGTCAAGCTGATTTCCTCTGTCTCCGCCTTACCACGTTTATGGTGGTCAAAGTCTGCAATGTCCTGTTCTTTCTCTTCTTAAGGACCCATCACCAGGACTTTCAGCTGAAAAATTTAAGAATAATTGAACCTAACGAGGTGACACACTCAGGAGACGCAGGTGTGGAAACAGGTAATAATTTTACCTATAAATTAGATAGAGGATCTCAAGAGGATTTTAGTTTGTGTTCCCTTCCCCAAACCCCAAGTTGGGAGAGAAGAGAAAGATAAGGGATTAGTGAGTGATCTTGGCTGGGGGTGAAGGGACATTTATCTGGAAATTGAAAACTATTTTATTCTTTGGCTTCCTAGGTAGCTGATTACCATTTCTGTATACTTACCATATTTATTGGATAGTAAATTAGAGAATTTTAGTTTTTGCATTTCTTATTCCTAGAAGTGGTGGTAGTGGTGTTGATAGCAATAGGTTATTACTAGACAACTTTATTCTAAGTTTTCTAATCTCTGTTGCAGTCCTTTATTGATTACCTTAAGGAGGAACTTTCAATTTTCATTGTAAGATTCTGAAATGAGGGAAGGTTTTTTTTTTTTTTATTGTGTTTTGGAAATTGATTATGCCTTTAAGAAAAATATCTGTAACTGCCTTCTCTTCCTGTAACTGGTTAGTTGATTTGTTGGGTTGCCAGTATTCCAAAAAGTTGGCCTGTTACTGTATATCTAGCCCATGTAAGTCAGTGCTTTTTAAAGGTTACCCAGGAGAACCACAGCTTTTCTTTTTAGCTTTCTGAAAAAGACTTACCCTTTGAAGCACTTAAGAAACCAATACTGATTTTTCTTTGGAAGATCCATGTGATCATTGCATGCAATTTTAGGTCCTTAAAAACATAGATGTATTTTGGGCTGTATTTGGAGGAAGGAGAGGTAGGGGGATGGGAAAGAAAAGAAGTAAGGAAAGGGAAAAACTGACAGAATCATCACATTTAAAGTTTGAAGAGAACCTCTGTTTTTACTGCAAGTGAGGAAATAGTTGTGGCTCCCAACTGAAACGCAGAACCCATTTGTTTTGATGTTTTTGGGCAGAACACTTTAGGAGAACCTCTGTTAGGTCTCCTAGCTGATACTGTGTAATGGATCTTGGACTTGTTAATTGGGTAGACCTTGGGTCCTGGGCTCTTGATGATCCAGTTGACTGGGGCAATTACATAACTTCTGATCTCTTATATGTAAGATGGGAATAGTGATACCTCCCTTGGAGGATTATTGTGACAATTAGCCACTAATGGGTGTAAAGCCCTTGGCCCTTACTCAGTGTTGGGACAGAGAAACAAACCTCTGGAACTTGATGCTGAAGCACAGGTTGGCATCTGCTCATGTGCTGTGAGATGCTGACATTGGAGTTAAGCGGCCCCTTCGGTTCTTAAAACAAGGGCGTGAGGGAATCCCAGCTGGCGCTTCAGAAGATCTTGAGTCGAGTACTGTTTCCTGAGTCACTGTGATGCACCAGATGCGAGGCATGATGCTTTCATGTTGTGTTAAATTGAGCCCTGAAAGGTAAATAAGGTGCACTTTTCTTGTACTTCTCAATAGTGAAAAGTTTTGCTGTCATACAGGCTGAAGGCTTAGGAACTTATTTCTAAAAACAGAGCTACACTATCAAGACTTTAAATGAGTCATTCTCTTTAAAGCATGATTTAAAAATACCTGGCAGTGTATAGGCTAATGTTACATCACAGACCAGGCTTGTTGTTCTTGGCTTTCTGCTCTCCTGAATACCCTGATTAGCTCTTGGCTGCTTCTGACATTTCTGCAAAGTACTGTGATGTGGAATGAACAGATGCTGTAATACAGCATCTTCTAAAATCTTAGCCTTCTTCTTCTGCTGATGACGATTCATTATTGTTGTGCCTGAAAAGATTATCGACAGAAACTGTGACATTCATTCAGCCATCTTGGAGTGAGCATATGTGTTAGGTGCTGGACTAGGTATGGAAATTCAGAGAAGAGGATGGCATGTTTTCTGCCTTACAGAGAAGCATTACTTATACTTGCTGCACTAATGGGCATGTGGCCTTCATGGTCAGTGAATGTGTCTAACTCTGGGACTTGCAAACACATAGCATTTACTAAGTGCCAGGCAGGTGCTTTATATGAAGTAACTCTTCTAATCCTGATATAAATCCCTCTCCCAGGATCATCAACCTCTGTCTTGACTATCCTTTCAACCATTGCCACTTCAGTTTTGTCCCTCTGTAACTCCAGCTGCCTTTCCTTTCACTCACTTTCAGGACCTGTTCTAATGTCTCACCTTTGCCCTCTGTAGCTACCTCAGTGCTTGCTTTTCCACTTCCACAGCCCATTGCCTCTGCGCATCCAGTTGCTGTCTTTTCAAGGACCAGGGACACTAACCAAAAGTGAAAGGCACGAGGATGAGGGACGGGGCAGGGAAGTGTCTTAGAGAAGTGACAGGGCAGGTGGTCTTGTGAAAATGCCACTGTGGTAGAACATGGTTCTGCATGGGGGAAGAATGGGATGAGGAGGTAGGCTCTGGTGACCAGGGAGCAGAGCTTCCTTCTACTTCCCTTTGTTTTCAGTTTGTTGTTGAGGATTTGTGCTTTTCCCTTTGGTCTTGTCGACTTTGTTGATGAGGTAGTGATTATTTTGGTACATACTCAGTACCTTCAAAATCTTAAGTCAGAATGTACCCCAACGGTGGCCCGATTCTATAAGGAAGTTCATGCTCTTCAGAGAAAATGTTTACTTCCGTTTGTTTGCTTTTTAAAATTCCATATGCCCCAGTTGCACTCCAGACTAACTAAATGAAAAGTTTCACAGTTGCCTAAGTGCAGCCAATATTGAAATCACTGCTCTGAAGTAGGTAGCATTTTCACTTGACTCTTTAATATTGATTTGCTCAGATAAAGGGTTGGAAGCAAGTCTATTCTGAAGCTCCTGAAAGATGTCATAGTAAAGTTTTCAGTTGCTGGCAGCTGAATTGTATGAAGGTGTTGACATAAAAAGTTAGGTCAGATCAGATACTTCTGATTCCTCTTTCTCAGACAGGTGAGAAACTGTAGGTTAGACAGAAGGAAAAGGTGTCCTTCTGAAAAGTGTTCAGATGCAGCTGTCATACAAGTGACATGGACATGTTTGAATTGTGAATCGGTCCATTTCCAGTGACACTCCCTGGGAGTACTTCTCCAGGTGGAGAGGCTGGAGGCTGGTGGTTGAAGGTATCCTTGCTGAAGACTAGGAGTGTGGTAATTTTTAATGAGTCCCAAGATCAAAAACTGCTTCCTAGGGGGGATCTATTATAGGTGACCAGAATAACTGAGTTTTAGAAGCCCAGATGCTGATGATGATGGAGTAGATGAAACTGTTAACAAAAATCTACAGATAGACCAGGCAGAGGAACCAAGCTATCCATTCCTGGAGATAACTAAGGTAAGGCCTCAGTGTAGCGCTCCATTATTTAGAGCATTCTGTGTTAGAACATTTCTGGTTAAGTAAAATATTTTTTATCCATCTAAAAAATGGGTTGGCAAAATCCATAACACTGACAACACCAAATGCTGGTGAGGATGTTGAACAAGAAGTTTCATTCATTCAAGATAGGAATGAAAATGGTATAGCTACTTTGGAAAAGAGTTTGATAGTTTCTTACAGAATTATATTCTTAGCATAGGACAGAGCTGTCAAGCTCCTTGGTATGTACCCAAAGTCTTTACAAGCTATATCCACATAAAATCTATACATAGATGTTTGTGCTAACCTTACAACCTTGCACGTGACCAAGATCCAGTAGAGAAATGGATACATACATTGAGATGATGTTCAGATAAAAATACTATTCAGCACAGAAAATAAATCAAGCTGAAAAGGCATTGAAGAATCTTCAAGCATATTGCTGAGTGAAAAAAGCCAATCTGAAAAACTTTTAACTGTGTGCTTCTAATTACATAACTTTCTGCAAAAGACAGAACTGTGGTGACAGTACAAAGACAAGTTGTTAGTATTTGGAGGAACGGGATGAATAGGCAGTGAAAGCCATTAAACTGGTCTGATACTGTAATGGTGGAGACATGTCATGTATTTGTCAAAGCTCATACAACAGCCGGAGTGAAGGTAAGGTAATGTAAAGGGGACTGGGTGGATGATGATGAATCAGTGAGTTTGCTGTAACAAATGTAAAACTCTGTTGGGAATTTTGATAGTGGGGGAGGCTATGTGTATGTTGAGGCTGGGGGCTGAACAGGAACTGTGTGTACTTTCCACTCATAAAACCTATGTCCACATAAAACCTATAAACAGAGGTTTGTGCTAACCTTACAACCTTGTAAGCAACCAAGATCCAGTAGATAAATGGATACATACATTGAGATGATGTTCAGGTAAAGGAATATTATTCAGCACAGAAAATAAATCAAGCTGAAAAGACATTAAAACATCTGTTTTGCCATAAATTAACTGCTCTAAAAATATAAAAATATTTTAAAATAAGTTGGAAAACTTACTATTCTACTTTGAATCCTAGTAGTTTTGTGAGTGGGATATAGCAATATGTATAATGAATTTTCTATCATTGACTTTTTGTTCAGTTCTTTTGTTGTACAGCAGGGACTAAAGCTATAATCTTAATCAGGACTGCTAGTGCATAGCAGTATTTGCTGAGACTTAAGATTCTTTTAGATAACCAACTAAAGTGTTTTTAAAGTTAGCTTGCAACATCTGAGCATTCATTATATAGAAATAGTCTCTTGTATTCTGGAAGGCAGCACTGTTTTAATTTTTGACTACTTAGAAATTAATAGAGGTTTAAGAGTTCTAATAGGACTACATTTAATATTCCTAACATTTTCTTTAAATGATATTTGTGCTTCTATGATTTTCTAGACTCCAGCTCTAGTTTTGTTGAGATGTTATGCTCCTCAGGATCTCTGGAACCTCTTGGGGTTCATTTTGAAAACCTAGATTTACTCTGCTCCCACCATATTTTAGAGGGGAGATCACAAGCCCCAGCCCCTTCACCAGGAAATTGCTTTTAACTCTCAGTTGATAGCAGGTTTTCACCTGAGCATCTGACTTAAGACTTTTGACTTCCAGTGAACTAACTGATCTATTCCACATCTGTGGTTGGCAATTTAACAAAAATACTTTTAAAACAGTCAAAAGTAAGCAGTGATATAAAGAATAAGAAAATAAAAGTCCCTCCAAATTTCTTCTACACAGAGGTAATGACCATCTATCTACCCTTGGATAATAGGCCTCCTAGAAACTTCTCTGCATACACACATACCAAATTTTAAATAAAGGAAAATCTGTCCCTGATGTCTTGTAATATGTTTTTAGTCACCCACCAGTAGTGTTGTATCTTTCTAGCTATATATCTATGTTAGTTACTGTTTTCCTATGTGATTTTAAATTGTTTCATCTTATACTATTTTGTTTTACTATTTTGTGTATTAGTTTATTTAATAAATTAGATATTTCCCCCTTTTAAATACTCTAGACAAAGGTAAACACCTGTGTTCTTGTGCACATGTTCATTTATCTTACTATAAAGCCCTAGAAATAAAAGAGATGACTGATCAATTTGGAAGTGTTAATAAAAGCTCAACTGTTCTTGCCACAAATGGCTATTTGGAAATAGTATTTAAGGATGGTACCCATTAGATTCTGGTCGCGTAGACCTTGGTCCAGTGGTGAGGTAGTCAATTTGAAGAGCATCTAGGTTAGGGCAGAGCATAGCAGGTGTTTCTCTGGGACTCTCTTTGTACTAGTCATTGAGTTGTGTGTGGCCATTTGGTTTTGGAACAAACTCTTCTGTTGTTGCAGGTGGCAGAATGGCTCCAAAGGTAACTTCAGAACTGCTTCGACAGCTGAGACAAGCCATGAGGAACTCTGAGTATGTTACAGAACCCATCCAGGCCTACATCATCCCATCTGGAGATGCTCACCAGGTATTGAGTGGAGATGGGCTGTGATGGAACTCGTCAGCCTCTTCTTTCCTCAGCCTGCATGTGTTTGTAGGAATCTTGTTCAATCCACATCCAGTCACAAGCCTTCTCTAGGGCTTGCCACAGCGATCCTGTGTTCCATAGCCTCTCACTGAGCTGGAAGGGGGTGGGTGGTATATGAGGAAGTCATGTGGTTTGGTCCATTAGTATTAAATTTAGTAGGCAGTAAGGTGAGAAGAGATGGGTGAGGTATTGGGTGGGGTGTAGCAATGGAATTCTGTCTTGTGTTCTCTAGAGTAGATAAACAAGGTTCACATCTTCATTGGAATGAATGAACCATCACGATGAAGGACTGGGTGAGATTGACCTACGTGGTGGGCCTCTGTCATGGTATCTGTCAGTAGCAGAGGATCTGGGGATCCTATCGAGGAACTGCTTTTTTCTTCTTCTGCCTGGGCTCCTCTGATGGGCTCTTTCCTATCTCCTGTCAGTCGTTCATCTGTAGGACTTGGTCTTCATGACACATGGATTTTCTGCTGGATTCACTAGTGTGTTTTTCATGTCCTGCCTTTCAAGCACCAGGCTATAGTCCTGGCTCATTTGATTATGGCTGTCCTATCTCAGTATTGAGGAGGGTGCTGGTTCCTTTGGCTGGAGTACAGCAGCAGTTATTATAGAGCAGTTATTTTGGGATCTTCTGTGAGTTTGTGTCAGTCAGTGAACCAACAGGATGGGTTATTTTACACACACACACACACACACACACACACACACACACACAATGTTATTATGAGGGATTGACACCGACAATTATGTTTTATTATGATATCAGATGGCATCAGCTCTGGTTCTCTGGTCTTTGGAGTAGAATTACACCACTGGCTTTACTGGTTCTTCAGCTTGCATATGGCACCAGTGGTGTGATCCCTGTCTGACTCCAAAAGCCTATGGACCAAGAATGCTAATAACCAGGGCAGGAGAAGATGGATGCCCAGCTCCAGTAGGATGGAGAAAATTGCCCTTTTTCTACCTTCCCTTGGAAGGATAAATGATGCCTGGCTGTGTGGGGAGAGCAGTCTTTAAGTCAGTCTGGTTATTCAAATGTTACTCTCCAGAAACAACCGGAGACACACTAAAGATAATGTTTTACCAGCTAAGACTCTGGGAATTCCTTAGCCCAGTCAAAGCAACATGAATTGAACCATCACAGTCTCCTGGCACTCTTGTCAAATTGGGTCTCACCCCTGCAAGGGGTTTCACAGGTTGTCATGGCGTGATAAAGACACCTAATTGTGCTGCTTTATTTGTGAGCCTTCACCCCCAGGGGAGGCCTCATTGTACAGAAAGACTTGACCTTTGAGTGGTTACTTGAATAAAAAATTGAAGATTTCCGGTTCAAGAGTGTGTGAACAGCTTTGTAGTCTGTATTTCAGTTTCAGTTTTCATTGGCCTGGAGTTAGGTTACAATGTATATGTTTAGAAGGGAAAGTCCTTGTAGCCAAGCTAAGCTGGGTTTATCTTGATATTCCGAGCCAGCTTTTACTTAATTAGGTCATCATACACTGTTTCGGGGGCCAGTACCCTGATTCATATAAAGCATGATACACCCAAAACAATTTCTTACTGAACACTGGGAATGGCAGTAAGGCTAGTAAGATGCAGGTAGGGTGCCAGGCTTTGCCCAGCTCATCACTGGCGAGTAATCCTGGGGAACAGGACTGAAGGGTTTTTCCCCGGATGAGGAGACTGACTCAGGAGTTCACTTTTGTCAGATAGTAGCAATCCATGCAGCGTCTCTGACCAGAGAGAGATTGGATCAGTCAGAGGGAGCAGTGCCTCTTCTGGGTTAGAGAACGGAGAAACCTGCTCAGGGGCCACTGCAGGAGCCCAGAGTTGGGGTGCAGGAGGTTTGGACTTGTTCTGACCTTATTGAGGAAAAGCAGGGCACAGCTGGGGTGTGCATTGCAGGCGGGTGGCCGAGGGGATGGACACGTTTTTCCTGACTGTGGTTCCATGCACTGTAAGCAACGAGAAAGTCTCTCGTTCCCCTTTCTGGTTCCTGTGGCGAGGAGGGCATCATTGAGGTGACTGTTAAGTGGGACTCTGGGTCACAGCCAGGACTGTGAGGACAGGAGGGAGGGTTGGCTTTGTGTGCAACCGGCCACAGCAGGCGCCTCAGTAATAGAGAGGCTGCTGTTCTCAGTGCCTCTTGCTCCTAGTTGTTCATTTCAGGCGAGAGTCAAGCTTGATGGAATTTCTCCTCAGGGTGGGGAAGGGATGGTGCTGGAGAATAAAGGGGAATCTTGAATTCTCTCCTTTGTGTACTTTCCAAAATACAAATACACACACCCACACGTTGTTCTGTGCCGGAGGAAGGCTCTCCCGAGTGCACAGTTACGCAAGGGTTGGGCACTCTGGGGGTCTGCTTCTTGCTGGCCTCTGCAACTCTTAAGGGTGTTTTTCTTTTTAAACTCAGAACAAGGGTTGTGGTTTTAATGTGTTTGGGCCCAGGGGAACTTTTACAGTGAGGAATTGTCCCCTCTCTCTGGTAATCTGAAAGCTTTTATGTACCAGCTAAGTCAAATGTTGGGATTTGTGGGCTCCCCTGGCCCCACACCAGGGGAGTCACTGCGTGGGGCCAGCGCTCTGCCACATTCATTGCCTTTTACAAACCTGGATACGCTGCCCTCCGCGTTGGTGTGGCCGATTATTCTGCTCTTGGACCCTGAAGTTCTGTCAGGGATGATCTGCCAACTTGCATTTTTGGCTGTGTTTAAGGTTCTCCTTCTGGAAGACGTGAATCAGATTTTCCTAAACTCTTTCGATCCTACTCCCATTTCTTCTGGAGTTGGCTTCCTGTTTTGTTTTGTATTTCTTAAACAGCTCTCTCTCCTGGGGGGAGGACAGTGATTTTATCCCCCCCACATTAGAGAAATGCTAGCTGTGGTAACACCTCTCAAAGTTTCAGTGGCTTGCTACTATGGAGCCTTGTTTCTTGATCCTGTAGCAGTGGAGTGTGGGTGGCCTGGTTGGGGTCCAGGAGGAAGAGTGATGCAGAGATTGGGCTCTTTCTAGTCTTGGTTGCCACCCTTCTAGTTGGTAGGTGGTGTGGAGAAGACACCCACTTTTAACTGCCACCACCCCAGCTTCACGTCCCAGCCATGTTCTGCGGTGAGAACCATGCTAGTATGTGACTCCACTTAGTTGCGAGCGAGCCTGGGAGTTGACATTCCAGATGGGAAGCCTTTTTCCAGGGACTGCTCTAGGATAGGACTGTGACTTGGTTTCATGTAAGCGAGAAGAAAATGTCATCACCTGAGAGTTATCTTAGTATTTGGGAACAGGCCTTTGTCTTCGTTCACAGTCTAAACTCTGAGCTTCCTGGGAACATACCTTTATTCATGAGTTTCAGTTTTTTTGAGAACTTAGTACGTCTGAAGGACCAGGGAGGGAGGATGATGTCACCCTGCTGGGCCCCCGTAACTTCATGTGAAAGTCTCAATACTTGGCCATCAGCTTCGCTTGCCCTGTTGTATCTGCATGAGGCCGTGCCGATCATTCTGCTTAAACCCAGCTCTGTTCTCTTGAACTTGTCGTCTCTCTAGCACTTGCAGGATAAAGTTCAAGCCCCGTATTTGAGGTCCTTGACCATTGTCTTGAGCCTCCCTTTCGAGGCCTCCTACTGCTGCCCCCTTGAACCTTATTCCACAGGACTCAGGTTAATTGACTCACAGTCCCTATAAAGATATGGCCTTGGGCCTTCTCCCTGGCTTCTCATCTCTCCGTGGTGGTGCAGGTCAAATGGTTTGAGCGTGGCCAAATGGTTTCCAGGTGCATCAGAGCAGTCTTGGAACTACAGCAAATTTAATATCGTGTGTTGAGCGTAGTCTCTGTTGCTGTTACCAGGGCCTGAGGTATGTCTTTGCTGGCTGTTCACTTCGAGAAGATACTTTGTGTTTCCTATAGAGTGGAGGTTACTGTCTAGTAGTAGTGCTGCAGTTTATCCAAAGCTTAGGATGTGCTAATCGCTTTATGTCACACCTCACATTTCCAGGATGGATATTATTACCACTCCCATTTTACAGTTGAGGAATTAGAACCTGAAGTAAACCCCGCGAGTAGACAGGCTGGAACGCCTGTTGTGTTTGACAGCTGTTGGGATTGGAACTAGAGATGTGAATATAGCTGTGGGCAACTATTAGGTGATTGGGATGCCTCAGTGTCACTTGCTATTATCACCCCAGGCAGGGCATGGAGAAATGCCGGCGGGGATGGCCTTGTCACATTCTGAGATGTGGGCGAACTGAAAACTGGGAGGGCCAGAGAGCTTTATGGCAGAAGGGGCTTCTGAGCTGGGTTTTGAGAGACAGCACAGGCATTTTTCTTTTCTTTTTTAAAAGTTTACAGATGTGTTTTGTTTATATTGCTTGAATTAGATGACAACATGTAAAAGTTGGGCTGCTCTCATGCACACGTGTATATGCAGCTTCTGAAATACTGAAGGGTGAACGTGGCCTGCATTACGGCACCACAGGCGTCAGCTGAGCAGGAGCTGCTCTGTCTAGGAAAGACACCCCCTTCTGCCTTGTCCCTCTCTGCTCCTCTAGTTTACATCCTGCACCCTAAGGCATTTGAGTTTGAGATCCCACTTATAATTCCTTTTGTTCTTTTTCTTTCGGGTGATGTAATTCAGTTCTGGTTGCTGCTGTAACAAATTACTACAGACTTAGTGGCTTCAAGCAACACAAATGTCTTATTTTATGTCCTGTTTATGTCCTGGAGGTCCAGCTCCAAAGTGGGTCAGCAGGGCTACGCAAAGGTCACGCAATTCCAGTGTGGGTGTAGGGGGTTTCCACACCAGTAACCAGCAATTCTCAGACATCAGCTGGGTATCCTGCAGGTCACCTCAGTTCAGTGAGTGTCTCTGGAGAGACACAGGCCCACAGGTTAAGGGATTAGCCCTCCATTCCCCCCTTTCCGTTCATTTCAGGCGCCAGTCACAGGTCCTGTGCTTCTGACACCCCAGCTATAAATCAGAGGTTCTGGTGACCCTCTTCTGGGTTCCAGCCATTTGCTAGAGCAGCTCATAGAATTTGGAGAAACATTTACTTACTAGATGACCAGTTGATTATAAGAGGATATCACCCAGGAGCAACCAGGGAAGGGTGGAGGAAGGGAGCAGAGCTTCCATGACTGTGACCCTCTTGCACCACCTCTTCATGTCCACAAACCTGTGAGTGCCTCTAACCCTACCCTTTCGGTTTTTATGGAGGCTTCGTTTCATATTCATAGCTGATAAAAACTTTGGCTCCTCTCCCATTCCTGGAAATTGGGTAGGTCTGAAAATTCCAACTCTATTCATCATTGTTCCTCCTGCAACCAGCCTCCATGCTTAGGAGCTTTCCAAAAGCCACCTCATTATTAAAAACATAGTTGTGATGGAAGGGGGCTTGTGAGCACCAGGGCAACCTGTTCACCTGTGCACTCTGAAGAGAATGAGACTGAGTACTGTGACAAAAGATGTTCCCATTGCTCTTATTTTTCAGGAAATTCCGAGGGCTTTGGAGCTGTGGAAGAGGACCAGATATATATGAGAAATGTTATTTTGCTCATTTGAATGACCATATAGAACAGTTATCATAAATCACAGGATTCTGGGTGCCCCAGGGGAGAACCCATTTCCTGATCTTTTCCAGTTCCTGAGGCCGCCTGTATTCCTTAGCTTGTGGTCCCTTTCTATGTCTTTAGGGAGATGGCCAAGGTTTTATGTAGGTAGAGGGAAAGGGTTTCATCTTGCCTTCTATGTGTTTATTTATTCAGCAAATTGGCTGAGGGCCTACTGTAGCATCTATACCACCTAGTGCGATAGTGACAGATGAGAAATAATCTCTCTGATCTCATGGAGCTCATATTTGCTGGGTTGGGGGGTGGGGCAGGACAATACAGTAACAATGTGGAAAAGTCATTGAGAGGAGAAACATCTAGAAAAATATGCTGTAGAAGAGACTGGTAGTCCTGGCAGTGTGGCTGGAGCATGGTGAGTGAGGAAGCATGGCAGAGAGTTTAAGGGGCTATCAGGCCAGGTCTTGTCCCTGGGGGCTGGGCTTTCGATTTTTATCCTGAATATATTGGGAAGGCCTTAGAGGGCTTAAGGAGAATGTCAACACTGCATACAGAGGCAGACATTTTGAAAAGCTATCTCTGAGTGTGCGAAGGGCAGATTGGGGGGGCAGGGCCCAAGTGCAGATGCCAGAGGCCTGGCCTGAGCACTGGTTTCCAAGATGGAGAGAAGTGGATGGGTTGGGAGAAGCAGCCAGCAGCTGTGCTTCTTTGGGCCTTTGTCCTTGTGTGCCTTATAAGACTTTGGCTTACTTCAGATTCTTGCTGTTCTCTTTGGAGAGTGTTCTGGGCTCTGTCCCCTTCAAGGGTAGAGCAGAGGAGTGGGAGGCCCAGGCCCAGTGCTTGTCTGATCTCTGCTTAGCCCGGTAGTGTGGAGGTGACACCTTCGGCCAGCAATGTCTTTCTGGCACACTGACCGCTTAGGTCATGTCTAGGCATACTTGCTCCAGACCTCATCCTGGTCCCAGAGCAAACATGTCCATCTACCTGCTGTTATTCCTCCTTCCCTCAGAGAAATCCTCCTGCTTTTTGCTCAAGATGGGCCATCCTGGGGAAACACCCCTCAGGTGGGAGAATCTTCACCCTGGCTGGTCAGGGATGTCCTCTGTGGCTTCTCCATCATGCACTGTGATTTTGACCTGCCAGTTACTTTCATTAACTTAGTTTTCCCAGCTAGATGCTTTTTTGTGGTTCAGAAAGAAGAGGTTAATACCTCTCTTCTATTGCATATGCTCAGCACTCTCAGAATTGTTTAAACATTAATTTATTGTTCCTGACTACAGTCCCAGGAGAGGGATGAGATCCTGTTTTTACTTTTTTTTTGTCTTGCATCCAGTGATTGCTGGGTTAATAAGCAAGTGAAAATGATAGTTCATCAACTTCAAGATTCTGTCTTTGAACCTGAGTTTCTCACTCGCTGTTGGTCTTTTCCTGGAGAAACCTTTGAAGGCTGAGAGATCTGTATCCTGCTGGAGAAGCTGGCATAGGGCTTCAGGTGGAGGCCTTGAGCTGACAGAGGTGCCAATTCTGCCTCTGCTACTTACTGGCTGTGTGACTTTGGGCAAGTGACTTAACTCCCTGCGCCTCACTGGCTAGTTCTAGAAGCTGCCCACTGCGGCCTTGCATCCTCCGCCCAGGAATGAGAACCTCTTTCTTCAGCCCTTAACCCTTTTCCATTCAGAGGCAGAGGATTATCAGCTGGGAAGGATCTAGATTTGGACAGGACGTTTTATTTTGCTGAAACCTCCTGGGTTGGAGGAAGCATTTCCCCTGGCTCCCCAACAGGAAGGGACAGGGTCTGCGTGGGAGAGATTGGTGATGCGGTCTTGGAGGGGGACACAAACAGGAAGTCAGAAATGAGCTAACCCTAAGGCAACCAGAGTTAGAACTATTGGCACCTAAAACAAATTCAGCCTGGCTTTTCAGAAAAGTAGCAGATGCTGAAATGTCAGTGGCAAGGAAGGGAGAAGACTGCCGGTTTGTTCTTTCAGTGAGATCTCGGTGAGAAAACGACAGTTTGCACGGGGCTCTCTTGACTTGTCTTGTTTTCTTGGTGAGGAAGTAGCAGCTAAAGGGAACAGCGTTAGTCTTAGTAAAGGTGTTCAGTGTGTGCTCTTAATGTTTTTTAAATATTCAGCTTGCCTTTTTACTAGACTGTTCCTTGAAGGTAGGTGCCAAGGGTCTGCCAGCCTTGGTGGGTCCCTGCTGGCCGAGCGCAGGGCTGAGCATGTGGCGAGCAGCTGGCACGTGCCTGGCGGTGCTCTAATCTGTTGCCCTTTTGGTTTTCCAGAGTGAATACATTGCACCCTGTGACTGTCGCCGGGCCTTCGTCTCTGGATTCGATGGCTCTGCGGGTGAGTCGCCACCTTCTCTCTGTTCTTTTGTACTTTTCTGTTCATCTCCCAAAAATAACTGGAACAACTTTCAGCCTATGATAAATAACTGAAAAGAAAATGCAAACCAGACGTTGCCTGTGGAGCCTCAGCAGAGAGGTGTCAGCTCCCAGCCTCCCCCGCTCCGTTGGGCCACCTTTTAGTCACTTTTTTTCCTTTATGTCTTTGCTTTTCAAGTATTTATTTAAAAATGTTTTTCAACATTTTGTTGAGTATACCTAGAGAAAAGAATAGCGATTGAATGGAATATCCCTGCTCACTAGCACTCCAAATAAGAAACAGGATACGGTGGGCACCTTAGCCGCCTCCCCGACCCCCGCACACTCTCTCTCTCACTTGCTTTAGCTTACTGCTCCTGCAGATTTCTCCAAGTGCTTGGCTTTGGGTTTCTGCTTTCACTTTCAGCTCAATAATAGTGGTTGCAACTGAGCTACATTGGTGTCCGCCCTAACCTTTTCAGAACTGTTACATGCCCTTGAGTTTTAGATTTTCCCCCTTGAGACTCCCGCCCGTCCTTTGAGCTAGACTTGGTGAGCGCCCCCTTGCCTTGTTTCCTTTGATGCAAGTGCTTGTGGTGGCTGCCACAGGGGGCTGCTTTTTGCCGACACTCTGCCTGTGGGAACTGAGGGCAGGGAGAGGTGGGCAACATAAATTTCTGCTGGTGACCATCATCGAGCCAGCAGGAGCACTCCTGGGCCCGTTTGTCTCTCTTGGGAAAGGTGGAACAGCTTCTGAGGGGTGTCTAGGGGAGCCGACACCACTGTGATCACTGAGCAGGAACCAGCTTCCCCTCTGCGTCGGTGGTTACAAGGCTATTTTGGTTCACAGTTCTCTGCTCATCTGACCTTGACGCACTCTGTACAAGTTGGGCATTTCTGTGCATGGGTCAGTGCCTGTGCAGTCTGGGCTGCCTCTAGCCTCCCCCTTTCTGGCCGTGACCCACAGCTGTTTCTCAGGGGCACTGCTCTCTTTTCCTGGGGGTTTCCCTGGAGTTAAAGGCCCGTCTACCCCCTGGGGTGGCAGTGCGTGCTGAGCCACACAAGATCCTGCTCCCACAGTGCAGCTTTTTTTTTTTTTTTAAGGTTTATTTATTTATGCATACAAGAATTGGGATACAGGCCAGAAGTACGGTGGGAGGTGGGGGTGGATTCACCAGAGACAGAGTAGGGAGCAGAACAGACAGATGGACTGAAATATACTGCTGAGGGAGCAGTGGGCAGGTCAGGAGAGGTTCTCTGTGCCATGTGGGTCAGCTCCCTGACTGAGGATTGAACTCATGCTGAAGTGGCTGCAGAGAGCTTCATAGTGCTGTGCTTTAACACCTTGTGCCACCCAGGAGGGCCCCATCACTGTGCAACTTTTCCACACTGTCAGAAGCCTTTCTATTTTCTGTGCTTCTCTGTCACAGGCACAGCCATCATCACAGAAGACCATGCGGCCATGTGGACGGACGGGCGCTACTTTCTCCAGGCTGCCAAGCAGATGGACAGCAACTGGACACTCATGAAGATGGGTACGTAGGGGAAGGGCCAGCTCAACCTTGGTGGAACTTGGGAAGGGATTCTAGAGTCCTTCAGGGTTCCTGGATCTTCACTCTCAGGGGATCAAAGGCCCTTTTTAGAATCTAAGATGTCTTAGTCTTTTTAGGATGTCCTAATACGTCACCGTGGATTCTGAGGCTTAAGTAAGTGGCAAGTATGTGAATTGATTCCACAGTTCTGGGGGCTGAAGTCTGAGATCAGAGGCAGGTGTGGTCAGTTCTGGTGAGGACTCTATTCCTAGCCTGCAGTTGGCCATTTACTCTGTGTCCTTACCTGCTAGATTTCTCTCTCCTTGGAGGGCTACCAGTCCTATTGCATTAGAACTCCACTGGCATGAATTCACTTACTGCCCACTAAAACCTGTCTCCAGATACAGTCACATTTTGAGTTGGGGCTTCAACATATGAATTTGAGGGACTTTGTCCAGTTCGAGGCAAAGAACCGTGGAAATGGCATGCTTACATGTACGTGTAAGGGGCGGGGCTTTCGAGTTCGGTAGGTCCTGGTTCAGGAAGCTCATTTTATTGAGGGGAACCCGAGGCCAGAGACAGATGAGGGCTGCAGATCACACAATTGTTGTGCATTGACTAGTGGGTGGGAGGGGGGGGGCTTTCTCCACCACTTTGTTGTCATGTGATTCAGCGTGAAGCAAAGGGAAGACTGTCCCTGATGCTCTCCCCACGAGCTGCTTTCCGAAGACTCTGGACTTGCCTCTCACAGCTCAGCGCTGGAGAGGAACGGTGCTCGGGGCTAGGCCGTGGGGCGGGGGCTTCCTTGGAAGTCATATCACTTTCAGCACTTCAGTTTCCTTATCTGTAAGTGGGAAGCTAATAGTGAGGATTAAAGTAATAATATATGGAAGACATAGTTAAAGCTCAGCGCTTATCAAGTAAGTGTTGCGTGTTTGCTATGGTTCTCAATTCTGTGCCATGTGCATTTTTCTGAGCTGTTAAAACAGCCTTTAGAAACCTGGTTGTGAGTGGTTGTACAGAGATCGCTCCTGAATTTTAAACTTGCGAGCAGATGAGGAAGAGGGAGACAGAGCCATTGATAGCGCTTGAGTTGATGCTGAGACACAGGCAGCAGCTGACTGAAGGCTGGTATGTGTGTTCACGTGTGGGTGTGCTGCACACTGGCCATGCACATGTGTGTGCTGTTCGTCTGAGGGAGAAGCTAGGAACATTTTTGTTTTGGAAGTGAATTTACTGTAAACTCCTGTTTCTCAACACCGTTCTTAGAAATATAAAAACAGTAAAAACACTAAAGCTATTTCCCTTACACACGCACCTTTGAATTTCATCTGAGTGAAGACTGATTTTCGGTTTTAGGAAAAATAAATATGAGAGTCTAGAACTTTCTGCTTGGCCTCCCCCCGTTGACCTACAGAGTGACTGAGTGGGTGTGGGCAGCTCTCTTTGTGGCCCACAGCTCCAGCTGTTTGGTCAATTGGCACTTTGGGATCAGAGCCTCAGAGGAGCAAATGCTGCCTGCCAAACTGGGTGTGAGGCAGCGTCCTTCTCGCTTCCAGATGTCTCTCAAGGCTGCTGTTTCCTGGCTAAGCATATCTTTCCTCAGGTATCTTTCTGTAGAGCGACACTGTGGGCTTGATCAGTGAGTGATTCATCTCTGGTGAATTGTCTGCTAGGAGGTGACTAGGAACATTTAGAGAAACCATTGTGTAGTGGAATGAAGTAAAAATGGAATCAAATAACAAAATAACAACTCAGTATCAGCTTCTAGCCAGTTTTTTAAGAGCTGAGATTCATGAGCTGATTTTTTTTATAAAACTTTGAACTTCCCTTCTGTGGTTATGTGGTTATTAGCAGTTTGCAGCAGAGAAAATAGTAAAGGGAAGCACTGTCTTAGGAGGTGAACTTCTACTCTCTACAAATATTTGACCAAGATAGTAACTGTTGAACAAGGATCTGGTTAGTTAAAAAAGTACACATCCCAAATATAGGAGATGTTGGATTAAGGAAAGTGGAATATCAAAAATACCTTCAGTTCCTTTTGTGAAACTTAACTGGGGTCCTGTGGTTACTTCTGGGAGCTACAGATGGCCATGTGGGTGCGCCTGGGCCCCCTTGGGATCTGTGCAGGGTGTTCTCTGCTGCCAACACAGGTGCTCAGTCCTCTGGTGAGGCTGGACAGTGGAGTGGGGCTTTCTCTGTGACACTGCCCCACAATGAGGGCCCCACAGTGAGCCTCCCCAGTGAGGGAGGGCACCCAGGCACGCACTCCCTTTACCTACTGAGAAGTGAGGGAGGCTCCCAGGCTTCCCCAAGTCACCACCCAGTAGTGGTGAAGTGACTGAGGCTGATAAGCTGGTCTTCACATGTGTTGCAGTGATTCCTGTGACGCCATTTTTTTTTTTTTTTTGGTCTCACCCTTATTTTATACTTTCCTACATACCATCTTATGCTTCTCAGCCTTCCAGAATTAAGGAAATTTAGATTATCCAAGAGCTGTCAATCTGCCTTGTAGAGGGGCTTAATGGATCTACTGTGGTAGTACCAGTGAATTGCGTCCTCTGGAGGAGGGTGATAAGCTTGGGCCCACCAGGGATTCTTTTTTTTCTTTTTAAGTTGTATTGCCTTTTTTTTATAACATTGGCTTATAACACCCTGTGTGACTCAGAAGGTTCAGAGACAACACCTGCCCCAAGGACCCATAGTCCTTCACCACAGTCCATGGGCCTCTCCACACCTGCCATCCAGCCTCCACCCCAGAGCAGCCTTTCTCTGCAATCAGAGTTCCAGGCTTTGTTTTAGTTTGGTTTTGACTGTATGTGTTTTGTTACGCTGTTGTCCACGTGAGTGAAATCAGCCAGTGTTTGTCTTTCTCCTGACTTACTTCACTCAGACGAGCCCTCCAGTTCTAGCCGTATTGTCACAAGGGGCAGGAGTTCATTTGTCTTTCTGCTGAGCGCATGGCATTCTGGTGTGTATATAGACCACATCATCTTTATCCACTCATCTGTTTTGGGCATTTAAACTCAGTGTAAGGAAGATGGCATAGCTCAGGTTCCTTCTGAGCCCCTTGGCTGCCACCTATGGCTTTGTTTTCCTCCCATCCCAGGTTTCATACCCACATTTGATATTGGGTCAGTGTAAAACGTGCTTGGGAGCACGAGCAAGGGCACATACCCTATGTTTATGGACACCAGGCTTAGAAGCCAGAGGGCACAGGGCATGCACATCTGTCAGGACACCTGGGCTGAGAAGCTAGCAAGAGAGAGCAGCCAGGGGAGAGCGCAGGGATGGTGGGGGTGGGCGACCCAGTCTGCCTGCCTCCCGGCCTCCGGCCTCCGCACCTCCCCGCCCACCTGCCACCCCGCCTGCTGGGGTGCCTGTGTCCCCAGGCCTGCTTCACCATGAAAGGCTGCCAGTCTGCTGGCGCTTCAAGATTCTTTCCTGTTTGCCTGAATTAGCCATGAACCTGTATGACCTGGAGTGGTGGCACTTGGTGATTGTACATAGCGCAGCATCCCAGGGGCTCCTTTGGTGGATCCTTTTTAATATTTTGGGGCACCTCCATATTATTTTCCCTTAAGGGCTGGACCAGTTTCCTGGCCCACCCACAGAGTGAGAGTGTTCCTTTCCCACACCCTTCCCCATACTTGTTGTCTTCAGTCTTTCTGATATGAGCCATTCTCACAGGAGTAAAGTAGTGTTTCATTGTGGTTTTGGGGATTGTTTATTTGTTCTTCCCTTTGTAGGTCTGAAGGACACACCAACTCAGGAAGACTGGCTGGTGAGTGTGCTTCCAGAAGGATCCAGGGTTGGTGTGGACCCATTGATCATCCCTACAGGTGAGTGAACTTGGGCTCCTTCAACAGGGGTGAGGAAGTGGGTTCTGCATGCCTCTTCATCCTCTTTGCTCATGGGATGTGACACATTTGGGGGCTCAGCATAACTTCAAGTTATGGTGAAGATCAAGGTGAGGAGGAGAGTTCTGGCAGTCAGTGAAGACAGGTCCTTATCCTGAGCGGCCTGTGCCAGCCCTTACCGCCCTGCTGGCTGCCTCTGAGAAAACAGCCTTCAATTCATGGCTGGGCTGTTTGCTTCTCTCCCCAGATTACTGGAAGAAGATGGCCAAGGTTCTGAGAAGTGCTGGCCACCACCTCATTCCTGTCAAAGAGAACCTTGTGGACAAGATCTGGACAGACCGTCCTGAGCGCCCGTGCAAGCCCCTTCTCACACTGGGCCTGGACTACACAGGTCAGAACCACTCCTGCACCCCCCTTAGGCCCCAGCCTCCTCCGCTCCCCATCACCACTGCTTCCATCCAGTTCTCTGAATCAACACTGACCTTGAGCTGGTGGGAGGATTTTGTCCCACTTGGCACTTGGATGCAGCCAGGAGCTTCATTTGTTTCACTTGCGCTTATTGCCGCCTATTTGCCACTTACTTTGACACAGTTTATCTCCCAGGCCCTTCCGGGCAGGCCTCTGGGTGCTGCTGAGTTGGCTTTTTTTTTAACCACTTAGTCGATAACTGCCACTCTGACGTGTCTGATACATGAAACAGAAGTTTCTTCCCTGTCAGCATTTGTAGGTTTACCTTGTAGGCCCCTCTTCCTCCATCTGGTATCTTCTGCCTTTTAGCTTTGGGACGTGACTGGGTCTCTTTGGCTTATGGTTGTGGTGGGTGAAGATCTCATGGCTGATGAGTGGATTTCTAGAACAGTGAGCTGTGCAGGGAGAGAGGATGGGGAGGTAGGGCTGCAGGGAGGGAGCCTTGCTGTAGAGGCAGAAAAGGAGAGGTGGATGGGGGTGTCTGGAATGTGGGCAGATTGCCCAGAGGGGTCCTGGGAAGAAAGCATTACAACCCAGACTCCTAGCCAAGTTTAATCAGCATTCCCCAGTTGATCTTCAAAGAGCCGTTTGATTGTGGGGGCAGCCCCAGCTTGCTTGCCTGCATGACGCCATCAGCCATCACCAGAGGGTATTGCAGATTCAGAGGCTGGGGGGATGGGTCCAGTGAGTGGCCCAGGGTCAGCTAAACATTTTCCCTCGGCTTGTTTAGATTTTTTTTTAAACAATGCAGAGACTTTGGTCTCTTGCTTGGAGGAGAGGAGACACAAAATGTTGCTGAAAAGACTTCTGTCCAGTGCACACTTGTATGCCCACTGTGTGCTGGACACTGTGCTGGCGCTGGATGAGTAGACAGTGGCTGCCCCTGTTCCAGGTGCTTGTAACCTGGTTACAAATGCTATTTCATGGCAGGTCATGGCATTGGGGTGATGTCCTTTTAGGCCAGACTTTCATCTTGGGGAGCAGCAGGCAGGTCCTGGTTGTGTCTTACAGGGCAAGAGGGATTTGGAAATGGTAGTCACAGTGACTCCGACTGCAGGGAATTCCTGGGTCTTAGCCCTGAAAGGCAAGTCTTGTGGTTCCAGGAGTGTAAAGTAGTGTGTGTGTGTGTGGGGGGGGTGATACTCCTCTGACTTCCAAGACCTCAACACTTCTGTGCTCCTCTGTTACATCAGTCTCTCTTCGGCAGGTTAACTAATTGCTGGTTTGATTGTCTCCCCTTCTGGATGGTAAACCGCGTGACGGCAGGACCTGTGCAGTGCAGAGCTGCAAGCACAGCAGCCAGCCTAGTAGCCTTGCAAATCTCTGTCCCTGGGAAGCCTAGATTCACAGACATTTCTTGGACAAACAAGTGAATTCATTTTGCTAGTGAGGCAGTCAGGGCTCTTGACAGTCCCCTGGCTTGGGTGGTCCCACCTCTCACGTAGGGCTTGAGTCTGGGCCTCCTGTCTGCTCAGACAACTTGTTCCCTAGGATGTGCTGGTGTAAGAATGTCTGGGCAGCACTATGGTGGTGGCACATGGGTGATTTGGTGATGGGAAGCCCACAGGGATTACAACTGAGATGGAAAAAGGCACAAAATGATGTAAAAATAAACTACTATATTAAAAAAAAAATGTCTGGGCTCCAAACACTTGGAGTTCCCACGGGTGCCTGGGACCAGGGCTGGAGTTACAATGACACTTGTTCCTCACAGGCATCTCCTGGAAGGAAAAGGTTGCAGACCTTCGGCTGAAAATGGCTGAGAGGAACATCGTGTGGTTTGTGGTCACTGCTCTGGATGAGATTGCATGTGAGTGCTCTGGTTTCACTGGTTGGGTTCCTGGCCCAGTTTCTCCATTGGTTCTCTGGCATTCTGAGTGGCCAGGAAATAAGAAAAAGACTGTCCCCCAATAGTGTGCCATACAATGGGCAAATCTGATACAGGGAGTGGGGTGAGGCATAGAACTTTACCTATAGTATAAACTATAGCTAAACTGTAGTAATAGTTTAGCCAGGGCTGATGTTAAACTTGTGGTAAAGTTCACTTCTGACTAGTTTCCTCTGGACTCTGGCACCTCTGAGAAAGGACATTTCCTTCAGACATTTGGTATCTGTCTGCATTCGTGTCTTCGTGTAGAAGTGGGATTAGAGGAGAAATTTTTTCCCCTGTACTTTTCCTGCAGAGCTCCAAGGTTTTCATATGAGCAGGAACTGAAGTTCTTCATGAAGCCCTCAGATGTAACAGCAGTTTCTCAATCTTTAGACCTTAAATTACCACCATGCAAATTGTTCAGTATCGTCAGCTCCTTCAGGTACTGAAGGAATCTGGTTGAACCTTCTTGTATTATCTGATGTTTTCTGATTGGATTTGACCCAGGACAACTGAGAAGAGGCACTGCCTCATCTTTTTCTCACTAGCACAAGAGACCCCATTACATAGTGCTCTGTCTCTTGAGATCCAGCCCAAATATTGTTAAGTTTTACCAGGGATTATATCCCTAATTAAATTAACCCAGCATCAGAGAAAATAACATGTAAATCTGATTTCTTCCCGTGATTATAGAAAAACACATTCCCTTGTGGAAAGAATCTGGAAAATGCAAAGGAAGTTGAAGAAAAAAAAAAACACCTATAATCTTGTTATTTGGAGATAATCACTTTTAATATTCTGTGCATGTGTAATTTTGTAGCTTGACTTTTCTTTCAGTGTATTCACATACACTGAAAATGTAACCATAACTATCAGCCTCTATAACCACAATTTAAATGAGTATTAAACATTTTATCATATAGTGATACCAGCATTCCTTTGGTCGTTCCCCTAAGGCCGACCTTTGGGTTATATCTAATTTCCCTCTGCTTTTATTACCATGCTGCCATCCAAATCTTGGTACATCAAATCCATGTCTTAGTTACTGATAATTTTCTTCCTGTTTCCAGTTGCCTTTTAGGGGTGTTATGGGTTAGTGTGTGTATGCGTTGTTGGGCTTTTGACCCACCCTGTTAGAAAGGTCCAGTGGTGGCCTATGACTGCGTCCACCTTGCCACACCCTTGTTGGCCCCAGGTACTGCCATTTTAAAAAATGTTCTCATGTGATAGGTGCAAATTTCTGCCTTGTGGCTTTACTTTGAGAAACCATTGAAAATATAGGACGTACTTTTGATACCTGGGTCTTTGGCACTCATGGATTCTGCCGGCCCTTTCGTTGCTCAAACGTGTAGGGACGTCACCAAAACAGACCCTGACTGAAGGCCTCTCCACTCAGACGAGGTGCCAAGGAGCCCTGGGTGGACAGGAGGCTGGATTTCACTGGGCCCAGGGCCTGCTGACTCACTGCTTTGTTCCTCTGCCGGGAACTCCTGCCGCTGTGGGGCTCATGACCCTGACAGGGAGGGCTATCTGGCTTCCCTCCTGGGTGGGTCTCAGTTTCCCTGCCCCTAGGTCCTTTGCCTCAGAAGGGAGTGAGTGCTGTTTCCTTTCCCTTTATTGGGCAACGCCAGAGGTTTTTCTGCTTAAGACCAGTCTTGACGGATGGGTCACCACCGGGCAGACCATTTCAGCTCTTTGTTTGGAGGGCATTTTTCTGTTTTCTGACTAACTCTTCCAATCCCTTGGTGGGACTGTGATGTGGTGGCAGAAGAAACAGTTCTGGCGCCACCACTCGGCGAATGTGAGCATCTGCAGCTCAGAATTGGAACCCGGAAGTGAGGTTCCCTGCCTCCCAGAGCAGAGCCGCCCGTCCTTTGTAAGTGGGGACTTAGATGTGCTGCCCTCTACTTCCAAGGTACCTCTTCACATCTCTGCAGGCAGGTGACATGGACTTCGTTTTTATTTTTTTTAGGGCTGTTCAATCTCCGAGGATCAGATGTGGAGCACAATCCGGTATTTTTCTCCTATGCAATCGTAGGACTAGAGACCATCATGTGAGTGTGTGGAAGGGCTTCTCCACAGCTGCTCAGATGCCTCAGTCTCCCCTCTCGGCCTCTGGCCAGCAGACACTGCTTGATGTTCTGCTACATGCTCTTGTCTTCTGCTCTTCCACTTTCTTGCCTTCTCCCCATCCCCTCTTGTCTTCCTTAACAGTCGGTATATTTTTATACCCTGCCTCTACCTCAAATGATTTCAAATCTATGAAAGTATTGTAATACTATGAGATAAAAGGTGAGGACATCAGAACAAAATTGGAGTGAGTGACGTTAGTTCACAAAATTCTGCTGCGGAGTCTTTCTCAGGCCATACATTTGATTCCAAGTTTTGTGGCAGCCAGTGCAACGTAGACTCAGTTAAGTAACACTGTTCTACAGGGCAAATAAACCCAGTCATTTTGAAAGTCAGAAATAAAACAGGAAAGCCCCTGAATTGTACATCTCTCATGAGATCTCCCTGCTCCTGGGTAGACTTCTTCATTCAGACAGCATGCTTACTGAGTGCCTGTTAGGTGCTTGGACCTATGTTGGGTGTTGGGGTGAATGAGAGAAAACACGGACTCATCAATGGGTGCTGTAGGATGAGGCTGACCTAGACTGGGGTCAGAGGAAAGGACTGCTAAAGTAGAGATTAGAGTGCATGTGAGGTAGCAAGTGAAAGAGAGAGTGAGAGTGAGGGATGGTGAACTAAAGCAGAGGAAACCCACTTTCACTGTTTCTGGGCAGGAGCTAGAGGTGGGGCTGTGTGTGGAGGACCTGAGTTTGTCAGTGTAGTGGAAACAGAGGGTGAGACTGAGGTGAGCAGAGCCACACTCAGGAGCTTCTTGGGCCCTTGCCTTGAGGACATGGGGCAACTAATGAATGAATGTGTCACTGGGGACCATGTGATCAGGCTTGTAATTGTTAAGACTATTATGAGTGTGAAAAATAGGACAGTAAAGGAGCGATACTGGAGGCAGGGAGACCAGTCTGGAGGCCGTGGCACTGGGGAGGCTGAGAGATGGCAGTGACTAGGCAGGGCTGTAGCTTCTGCCAGGCAGACTTGAGGGTGACTTAGGTTACAGGCACAAAGATCTTAGTGAAAAGGGAAGGAGGGGCCTCTAGGAGGATCATGCCCAGGAGCTGGCATGGGGAATTGGGTGGATGATGGTGACACCCACAGAGGCAGGGGGCGTTGTTTGGAGGGGAAGATTTTGGAAAGAGGACTGGCGAAGAGAGAGCAGTTTCTTGGTCTGACTGCCAGAAGACAGAGCCTGGTGTGGGTGTGTGGCTCGGAGTTCGCCTTTTACTCACAAGTCCCCCCCTTTCTCTGTCACCTCCTCTGTGCCCCCTGCAGGCTCTTCATTGATGGTGAGCGCATCGATGCCCCCAGTGTAAAGGAGCACCTGCTGCTTGACCTGGGCCTGGAAGCCGAGTTCAGAATCCAGGTGCTTCCCTACAAGTCTGTCTTGAGCGAGCTCAAGACCCTGTGTGCTGACCTTTCCCCGAGGGAGAAGGTGTGGGTCAGCGACAAGGCCAGCTACGCTGTGAGCGAGGCCATCCCCAAGGTCAGTAGCCCCACAGGGCCTTTTAACCCTGTCGCATTCTAGCAGCCAGCCCCTTCCCCTGTTCTAGCTTTGTCCTTGAGACAGAGGCTGGTCAGGCAGATCTTCAGCACTGGGGAGGGATGAGAGGGAATCCAAGCCACCTTAGATGTAGCCTTTTTGACTGTCATGGCCAAACCAGCGACATACTCTCATCTCCATCTGGGGAGAGCCCAGGCCTGACCTCTAGATGTTCCACTTCACCCCCTCGCACTGTGTGACAGTCAGAGCCTTGCCCTCTTGGTTAGTGGTGCCCACCCTGCTTTCTCTGTGTCATGAGGGGCAGGTATGTGAGGTAGAGTAAGGACTGTGGAGAGCATGAAAGTCTGTGGGGAGCTCTGTGCAAGGGCAGGTGGCAGGAAACCCCCTCCCTGTGACAAAGAGCTGGATTCCACAGGGGCCTCAGGTTCCGGGAAGGCTGCCCTGGCCCCTCCGGACCTGACCATTTGTAGTGGCTGACCATGATCGCTGGGCGTGAGGGCGCAGGAGCGAGAGCCCTCCTCCTTAGTCATGTGCTTCCCCAGACAGTGGGAAAAAGCCTCCTTTGTGTGGCAAGAAAGGGGTTCTTGGGGTCAAGCTTTGATCTGTAGATGACCTCTGACCACAGCTATGGAAACTTGAACGCAGTTTCTTGTGGAATTGGGGAATTAGAATGCCAGCAGTGTCACAGAGACAGGGGCCGGGGGATAGAAGAGAAATACCCTGTTTGAGGTACTTCACCATTTTGGCTGAGTTCAAGCTACTGTTATATCATGTGCAGAGTCATCAACCCGGAGGTGCAGTCTTTGGGCCCCAGGGGACAGGTGGAGAAATCCTGAAGGGGAGCTTTGTGTGTGATGGGTAGGGTCCACAGGTGGAAGTCTTGGCCCTGGGAGCATGGGCCCAGGCTTGATCATCCCCCATGCTGCTATGCCCCCAGGATCATCGCTGCTGTATGCCTTATACCCCCATCTGCATTGCCAAAGCTGTGAAGAATTCTGCTGAGTCAGAAGGCATGAGACGAGCTCACGTGAGTACAGAAGGACTCGTGGTGGAGAGCCTAGTGCCCTCACCTGCTTGCGGCCTTGTGCCTGGCACAAGGTTGGAATCTCTGAGCTTCCCAGAGTTAGTGAGTGAATACATGAAGTACTGGCTAGGCTAGGCCTTCACAGAATATAACACAACACAGAGAGATATTGGTGGTGGTGATGAAGATGAAGCCTCTGAGAACCTCCAGATTGTGTTTCAGGGCTAGTGGTGGGTCTAGAAAGATTTGGGGCCCCAAGATGGTGTTTGACTGTGGTGGGTCTCTCCTGTCCCCTATGGGGCAGGCCTCAGACCCTTGCAGGGAGCTGTGTGTGCTCTGAGGCCCTTTCTGATGGTATCTGAACAGCTAAACTGCAAAGGAACCTTCTTCCTGAGTGGGAATTGCTGCAGACTTGTTCATAGGAAACCCTGCATGTAAATCCTGGTTGTGCTGATGGTTTGGGGCCCTATAGGTGAAGTCCACTCGGTAGTACATTAGGACTGGGTTTTGGATCTGCTGATTTTCAGTATCTTAAAAAAAAAAATGTTTTTGTTGTTTGCACAGATTAAAGATGCTGTTGCCCTCTGTGAGCTCTTTAACTGGTTGGAGAAAGAGGTTGGTTCTTGGTCTTTATTTAACACGTGGATACAGATTATTCAGAAATTGGCCACAATGAGATTCCAACTCCCTGGCGCCCTCCATGTTCTGGAGACCATGAGGTCTAAGATCTTGATCTAATTTTAGTATTCTCTCAGGTTCTTTCTGGTCTGTGTGTATTTACAAAGTCTTTAGTGTAGGAAATAGTAATAACAGAGAGGATCTTTTCTGGGTTAAGGAATTATGACTAAGTGAAATATCACTATCAAGGCTGGGTGTTTTAAGAGAAGATCTTTGTGCACATTTTTAACATCTTTTAAACCAAATAACTTTCTGCATTAAATTGATTCTTGGTCCTTCATTCCTTGCCTCACCATCCCTCGGGGTGACAGGAGGGTAATTTCTTTGTGCGGATTTTAAACAATATCATATTCTCTTTATATTACATAAACAGCAGTTTACATAAAGCAGCAGTTACATAAAAACTTAAATTGGAAAAAGAAAATATCACCCTTACTCCCACTGGCGTAACCATTAACCCCCCCTTGACACTTGTTCATCTTGTGTAAATCATTTTTCAGTGGAAGTAAATTTTTACATGTTTCAGTGTACAGAAATGATTACGTTTTATTTTCTTAGTGTAAGCATTTTTTCCCTGTGTTTTGAGGCCTCCAGAGATCATCCAAATAGACTGTTTGCTAGCTAGGCTGATTTATTTAACTTCCCTTCTATTTTTAGATATTTAGATTGTTATTAAATTTTTTTTTTTTTTTTTTGCTAGCATCAATAATCCCTGTAGTACTATCTTTTTATTTATTTAGAGTGACTTTCTTAGGGTGGTATCCTAGGCAGGGAATTTTTAAGTATGGGCACACTCAGCTTGGGGCGGTCTAGGATATAAGACTTTGGCGAAATAGTTGAGTGTAAAATTTTAAATAGAAACACCTCTATGTTGGATAGCTTTGGTGAAAGCCTTTGGAAATAGCCTCCTTGTTAAAGATGAGATGCAATTGTGTCCTGTAGTTAGGTAGTTGGGACACAGGAGTGAGGAGAAGGCGCCTTTGTCTACCTGCCCAACACGTATGACTCGCGTGAACTCGCCACGCCAGGTGATTTAGACGCTCCTTCTGTGTAGGTTGCCAAAGGGGGTGTGACGGAGATCTCAGTTGCTGACAAAGCTGAGGAGTTTCGCAGGTGAGGCTCCCTCTGTGGCCCAAGAACCTTGTGCTTATTTGCTGGGCAGCTTACACGAGGCTGGAAGGGCCCTGGCCCTCGGCACCGTGGGAACACCTGTAAGCCGATCTGCTTGGTGCATCTGTTGCAGGCAGCAGGCTGACTTCGTGGACCTGAGCTTCCCGACCATTTCCAGTACGGGACCCAATGGCGCCATCATTCACTACGCGTAAGGCATGCGGAGGAGCCCGAGCAGGGGAGAGACATTGTTTACCGGAGCCCCCAGCGCCCCCCTCTCTGTGTCTGTTGAGACTGTCCTTACCTAGCAAATAAGACCTCTGAGATCTTACTTTCTCTCATTTTTTTCTGAGTCCCCAAGCCTGTTGGGGGCCTCCTCTTGGGCACACCTGTTTGGCATTTGGCTCCCGATCTGGCCAAATGAGCTGCCCCCTTTCCTTTCCGAGACCGCAGCGCTGCCCAGCTCAGATGGTTTTGCCCTGTGTTAGGTGTATTGGGTTCTCTGCTCCCCACCTGAGATGCAGCCAGTGGAGGAGCACTGGGCTGTCTTGTGGTGCCGCACTTGGGCCTGACTTGTTCCCTCCTTTCAAGTGATTGCTTTTCGTTTTTAGTTTTGGGGTGAATTTTGCACGGTGTGTGGGAGACACTCACACATAGGACTGCAGAGTTCTTTTGCAGGAATATTTCCACTCAACATTAAAAGACAAAAGGACTTCAGTTTTTGTCAGGTTTAATTCAGGGAATGAATTTCTTGGCTAGATACTATCCCAGAAGGTGGCGTAATTAACGCTTTAAAAAATCTTAGACCGAGGAGCGAAAACTTTGCTTCTACTTCGGTGTTTCCTCACTCTGGCTGTTGGAAGCCTTTTGAGTGTCAGCGCTGAAGCCAGGCTCGTGTCTGCTTGTCTCAGTGCTTCAGCTTGAGGGTGTCCTTATTGCCCAAGAGGGGGTGGTGCCGGGAGTGAAGGAGAACCCCTCTTGTCTGTCAGGCAAAGAGGCTCTCACCCCTTCTCTCATTTCCTAGAGCAGCGATGAAAAATAAATAGGCTCATCAGACCACTTTTTAAAAATATCTTGTGTTTTTTTGACAAAAGGGTCCAGGCTTAGGAGCATGTTAAGCATCTATGCCTTTCCCAGCATAAATCCCTTTAGTTTTTCTCCCAAATGGAGACATTCTTCTTGGGCCTGTCTGGTGGTCTGGGAAGTAAGCTCCAAAGGGGTCAGGACTGAGCAGGGGAGCTGGGAGCCTTGCACCCCTTGCCTGAGGCAGGCAACACAGACTGCTCTTCCCAGGCCCCAGCTGAGGCCATTGTGTCTCTTGACCAGTATTTTTGTAGCTTTTCCAGTGATCACATTATTTATTCCAGAGACAAATGGAGGCAGCCATAAGGAAATAGGTTCTTCTTTCTCTTGAATTCTTTATCTGCTGGGGAGATAGGCTGACGGAGGTTTGAACAGTAGAATGTTAATACCACCTGGAATAATGGATTTATCTTTTAATTTTATAATTTCACACTTAAGGCAAGAATAGTACAAGGGACGCTTGTATATCCATCTACTGGATTCAGCAAGCACTTACATTTGCAAACTAATTTTTAATTTGCTTTCTAGGCCTGTCCCTGAGACGAACAGGACCTTGTCGCTAGATGAGGTGTACCTCATTGATTCCGGGGCTCAGTACAAGTAAGTGAACTGGGGCTACCTAGAACTTAGCCAGCTGAGTCCAGGTAGTTGAGCAGCTGCACGGCCTGGCTCCAGCCGAGAGCCCGCAGTGGGTGATCTCATTCTGCACCAGCCTCAAGTGGAATCGGCCTCGTGTTTTGTCCTCGTTTTGACCCCAAGTTGAAAGGGCCCGGTTGTATCTGTTCCTACACTAGATTTTTTGATAGAAATGTTTAGTCCTTGGCCAGAGGTTGTTAAGTGCTAACTAAATAACTGGAAGGCAGCTTTTAAAATCCCTTGAAAATCTCCTACCCAACCATAAACTGCCTGCTAGCTCCCTCTCTTTGCATCTCGCCCCAGGGCCCTGGAAATAAATAAGTGAGCATCTCCCCTGAATTTCTCAGTTTCTTCATGCTTTCTTGCTTCCATGCTCCTCTTCTAGAATAGCTTCTTGTGGGAGAATCCATCCCTGTTGGATCTAGATGTGGAGCCTGTGAGAAGGCGCTTGCGTGAATGTTCTACCTCTCAAGTCTTAAGAATAATGTTGCTCTGAGCATTTGTATACACATCTTTGTGTGGGCCCACATTTTCAGTTCTTTTGGGTGTTTACCTAGGAGTGGAGTTGCTGGGTCAAAGGGTAGCTTTATGTTTAACCTCTTGGGGAGCTGCAGACGTTTCCAAAGTGACTGGGCCGTTTTATATATCTGCCAGCTGTGCGCAGGGACTGGAGTTTGTTCACATCCTCATCTGTCTCGTAGTTGAGCAAAACTTATTACAACTGGAAGCTAACCTGCCTGCTTTCCTTTGACAAGGGATGGAACCACCGACGTGACCCGCACCATGCATTTTGGGACACCCACAGCCTACGAGAAGGTAGGGGGGAGACCCCAGAGCCCTTCCGTTTTCCTAAGAGCATAGCTTTTATGGGCAGGGCCTGCATAAATAAAAATGCTATGTGGGAGAGTAATATAGCTCATTGCTGTGGAGCCAGGCTTATCTGCTTTATGACATGCATTTAATTATTGGAGAAATTTTAAAGCATTCTGTCTGCTAAGGTCAGAGCAGCTCAGACTCTGTTTAATCTGCTTTGGCTTTTTCTTGAGTCAGGAAATCTGTCTGAGGATTGGAATGGTGCAGAGAAATAGATGCCTTACAGGCTACCTAGATTTGGTTCTGAAAGCCCCCCCTTCCCTTCTCTCCTTTCCCCTCCCGTCTCCTCCCCTCCTTTCCCCTTGTTCAGAATTCCTATTTGTAGTCGCTGCTCTCTAGGAACCCCCTGATGTGACACGCCTTGTTCAGTTTCTGATCTGTCTGGCCTGGAAAGGAGGAAACAGCTAAGGTAGTAAGATGTGTCCCTTCAGGCTGGAGCCTAGACTTTGGATCTCTGTAGTTTCTTGGCTCCATGACCTTGAGTGAAGCACTTAGGCAGCCATAAAAAGGGGGCTAGTAGTCCTTGCCTCTAAGGCTGGTTGTGAAGGGCCCCCTAGCCCAGCAGGTTCCAGGGTCATAGACGCTGCTCAGTGAATGCTGACTGAATCTCTGAGAGCATCTGGTTTCTGGAAGCTCCCTCAGGACATTTCTGTGAGGAAGATGGTTGTGTGTGCTATTCCCAGGCCCTTCACCACTTCCATAAGTGGGCATCAGCATCTCCGCTTAGCTTAACATTGGGTCCAGATACCTTACTGGGACTCTACTGTGGAAGGGATTTGGCCTGACTGAAGAGGGCAGAGTTAAGTGCTGAATTGGCAACTGACTGGCATGTGACTGAGCTTCCAATGGCCCTTCTCGTGCAGGCAGTAGGGACAACCCTGAGTGTAGCCTGGAGGGGAGGAGCACAGATGATGAAGGATGAGGAGACGTGGGCCTGAGTGTTCAGTGCCTGGTATAGCGCCAGGTGTGGAGGACAGGCTCAGTGAGTGAGGTGGTCATGGCCCACCCAGCCCTTCCGAGGTGCTGTGGTGTGGTGTGTGTCCAAAGTTTATTACAAAGTTCATTACAGAGGAATGGACCGTGTGATCATCTGTCTGATGGTTCTGTTCTACCCATTTGAATTTCAAGAGGTTCTGGAAAATGGGTGCTATGCTCAAACCTTTCTCATCCAGTGTCTGCTCACCCCTTCAGAGACAAGGTTTCCTGAACTACCAGGAAACGGCAGTTCACGCATCTACCTGCTTATAACGTGCCTCCCGGCTTCCTTTGGCAGGAATGCTTCACGTATGTCCTCAAGGGCCACATAGCTGTGAGCGCGGCCGTTTTCCCGGCTGGAACCAAAGGTAGGTGGCTCCTGTCAGTTGGCGGCTTGTTTTCTTCTGTGGGCCCCAAGTTTGAGTGGAAAAAATGCCTTTTCCTTTGTCGCATCAACTCCCAACCCACGTCAGGTCCAGCCAGGGCCGGGGGTGGGGGCGTCCCCTGGACCGCCATGCTCAGCGTCCTCCCTCACAATGTTGGACACCACATACCAGTTGCTCCCGCGGGAGCTCGGCCCCACTAAAGTCGGCACTGCCTCCTGTTTGCCCTTTACCTCTGGGCCAGGGTCCCTTTTGGGGCTTTTTCCTGGGAACCCAACTTTACCTTTGCTGTGGACTGGGGTGGGATGTTGGATTGGGAGTTAACCTGAGCTGGACTCAAGTCTAGTGAGACTGGGCCTGACCTGCCTCCCTGAGCACAGGTTTCGTCACCTCTCAGGCTGGAGTTGTGCGCAGTCCTGTCAGGTGCTCACGTCATCTGCACCTCAGGCTCCCGGTGCTGGGAGGGAGTATTAGTGCTACCAGTGCAGCTCTGCCTGCTGCGGGCGCCCTGCCTGCCCCCAGCACCCTGGCCTGAGGCGCCTTTGCCTCAGATTGGGCCGCCCTTTCCAGAGCACGATTGTTAGAAAGTTCTTCCTTGTGAAAGGCTGAAATCTGAACCCTCCAGTCACTTTTTCCCCACTGGTTTATGTTTCACCTTCTGGAGCCAAACATAACAAATCTAATCTCTAAAGTACTTTGCAAATTGAAAAGTGCTGTCTGCATGTCATCAAATGGTCCTTTGTGTGCCTCGCAGGCCACCTTCTCGACTCCTTTGCCCGCTCAGCTTTATGGGACTCCGGCCTGGATTACCTGCATGGAACGGGCCACGGTGTCGGGTCTTTTCTGAACGTTCACGAGGGTCCTTGTGGCATCAGTTATAAAACGTTCTCCGATGAGCCCTTGGAGGCGGGCATGGTAGTCACTGATGGTAGGTCACCCTGTTGGAGGGGTGTGCATGGGTGCGCCAGCCTTTTGCAAGTTCTTTGGGTTCCCTTATATATAGTAATTTGAAATGACACCCCCCTCCCCTCCACCCCCATCACCTTGAACTCAACAGCAGCAATCTCTTGGGATAGTAAAAGTGGTCACTGTCCTTTGTAGAAAAAGCGAGAGTATAGAACAATGTAGGAAGAAAGTGAAGATCATTTGTAATCCAGCTACCCCGGGGGGAGACATGACCTACTATTTTGATGGTTTGATATGCTAGTTCTTGGTCTGTTAGATGTGTCTGTTTATTATTTTAATCATTGAGATCATGCTGGACATGTTTGTATTCTGCTTTCTTATTTAATATATTGCCTTTCCCATTTTATTTCCAAATCTTGGTGAATATACTTTGCTGCCTAGATCACTAGTTCTGGGGACCTGCTCTGTGGTTTCTGTGGTAGATCATGTTACTCTGCTGTCCGCACCGCCGGGACTTCAGAATTTCCTTTCTGAACCTCAAGTGCCCACTAAAAGTGGCCCTGGGGGAGAAGGTGGCATCTCCGGGCTCATGCCCTGGACTCGTGGGCCCTTCCCCAGTTTCTCCACCGTTGGCGCGGGGCTCTCACCCCACAAGTTAAGCTTCTGTACTGCGTGCATATCTTCGTCGTGGCTACTCTGATTTGGGGGTTTGTTTGCTTTAGAGCCAGGGTATTATGAAGATGGGGCTTTTGGAATTCGCATTGAGAATGTTGTCCTGGTGGTTCCTGTGAAGACCAAGGTGAGTAACCACATACTTCAAAAATGTCCTTATCCCGTAATAGGGAACAGGCCCTAGTCACCTGATGGGGCCAGCAGGGCCAGGTCACGTTGCGTGTAACAAAAACTGAACTTGGGGATCAGTGCCCAACCAGAGAGGCCCTGAGCCAGACACCCCCTTTTCCTCACAGTAGACTTCAGCTGGGGGACCCGCTGCCGGGAGCAGCCCTCTGCGCTTTGGCTTTTCCTGATGGCGGGCAGCAGCCCTTGGAGAATGGCAGCGTGTGTTCATCGCACCTTCCGTGGTGCCCAGCTCGCCACTTCCTGATTCCCACTTATGCCTGGTTCTGCAGGATGGTCCTGTCCAGTGGGGATGACCTCATGGTGGTTTTATGAAGAGGGGTTAATGCTCCTGCGTTCTCCCTTCTCCCACAGTACAACTTCAATAACCGGGGAAGCCTCACCTTCGAACCTCTAACTCTGGTTCCAATTCAGACCAAAATGATAGATGTGGATTCTCTTACGGACAAAGAGGTAACGAGGGCATCTCGGGGAAGGGCAGTGTGTGTGTGTGTATGTGGAGGAGGGGGGTCAGGTGGAGAGTGGCCCCACATTCTCTACTCTGTTCTCACTTTTTAATATAGAGGACAGAGCCAGCGAGTCTGGAGCACCTTGGTCTCTGAAGGCCTAGGACACATTTCTTACGCTTGTGGGGCCTCTGGGCAGGGATCGCCATGACCCTCCTTGCCCCAGCCCAGCCTGGCAGTCAGTAGGGCATAGTGTACTTTTGTTCTCCCAGAGGGCAGGAGCCAAAGCTCCTGCCTGAGGTGTGTTTTGCAAATATGTACCCTCTGTCTTCCCTGCAAAAGGCCTGCTGGGTCATGGGCCTGTTGACCATTGCATGCACCAGGTGCTTGCTTGTGTTGCATCAACATTAGGAATGAGAAGCCAATATATTATCACGTGCCTGGCTTGCACACAGATGTGAGGGGCAGGGAGGGGTGCCTACTATTCTGGTCACCCTGGGCTTAGAAAGCACCACAGCTCACCCATCAGATCAGGGTTACAGGTCAGGAAACCCCATCAAACCCCAAACAGGTGAGACGGCAGGCCTGGGGAGCTGGAGTAAGATTTGAGGAGTCAGGCAGGTGATAAAGGTTGGCGCACAGACAAGGTCAAAGATGGGGCAACAACGGTCAGCACTGAGCAGAGCAGCACATCTCGAGAGAGGAAGACAGAGGCCAGAAGACATGAATTTGGAGCAGACAGGTGGTCAGAAGTTCCTGCAAAACTGCCGATGACTGGCAGGCACCAAAGGCAGGATGAGCTTGATGCTACTTAGGAAAGAGAGCCGGTGACCTCATCACAGGGGCCTCAAGTGTAGGTTCTTGAGGTGTGGGAGGTAACCTCAGTGGGGTAGTGGCCCACCTGGGCCTCATTCTTGGCAATGGCAGGAAGTGCTTGTGGTGACTGAGGAGCCCTCCTGCACAGGGCTGTGGATTGGGGTGGTCCAGTGGGAAGCCTTTCCTCCTTATCCACCTCACTGACAGGTGACAGGGAGGTCACCTACTTCACACTTGACCTCTCTGTGCTTGCACACCCGCTGGCCAGCAGTGCCCATGCTTTCGCCAGACACAGATGGGGTTGGCCGAGGCAGATTCATTCATGTCATGAGAGACAGGAAATGCAGCCTCATCCCAGGGTCAGATGTGTCTCCGCAGGGAGAGGCCACCCGCGGTCCAGGCTCTCCTCCGGGGCTGAGCTGGAAGGGATGGAACACAAAGCGCGCATGGGAGCCTCCAGCTTAGCTGCCCTGTGTCCCGTCGTCGGAACAGACCGCTTGCAGTGGCCCAGGGCACTTTTCCAGGGTCTTAGCGAGAGACTCCCTGGCAGGAAATCACGTCATTCTCTTGGAGACCCAAGGCAGTGGCTTCCTGATGGTCATTCTGTGTGACAGTCCTTGTTGTCCACGTCGGCCGACCAACAGGCGTTTCTCCCACTGACATTCTACCTTATCCAGGCAGGCGGTGTCTGAGGGAGGTGGAGTGAGGCCATTTTCTCTAAGGGTGAGGTTTGCTAACCTGTGACTGTCCACCTCGTGACACTGTCTGTGGAAAGTAGATTCTCTTACGCGGTGGCTCATCCTGTGCCTTGCATACTCACGTCACTGAACTCTTTGGCCAATTAGCTTTTTCTAGGATGCTATCTTCTTCCCCTGAGATCATAAGTGACTTTTACAAATAACAGTTACATACAGTGTCATTTATCATCTCTGTTAGCCAAAGGATTCCTTTCCTACATACATCTCTACAAATCTGGGCTTCATTGTTTTCAAAGACTTAATAACCCCCCACAGCAAGATTCTGTCCACTGGGCTTCTGGAACACCAGGTCATTGCCTTTACTTTCTACAGCCTGTCTTTGGCGGAAACTTAGGGAGTTTTCAGTTCGGTCCGCATTCCCACCGTGTGTCACCAGATGGCAGCAGAGGACTTTGTGTGGAGGTCAGGACTTGAGGCCCAGGCTGCTCCGCTCTCCTTTTTCCCTTCCTCTCCCCCTAACACAGGTCCTTGGGTGTTTCCCAGGTGGGCTCAGTGCTGTTGTCATCATCACTGTTCAGCTGCTGGGCCAGCGGGCTGCCTTGTCACCCTGCCTGGCCTTGCTGGTGACACACAGCAGTTTGCTTGCTACCTCCCTCCCACTCCCAGCAGGGGACAGTAGGCGCCAGTCTGCCGATTGGAGCCCTGGCTGGGCCCAGGCCAGTGTCCTGTCTGCCCTCACACCTGTGGCCTCGTTCATATATTTTGACCCTTGCACAGGCTGTGGCTTCTGGTCCAAACCACCATTCCCAAAGCAGGTGCTTTGGTTACACAACTCGTGCCTCCTCCGATGGCAGCGAGCAACACTGCACCTCTCAGCAATAATGTTCACCTGGGCCACTGTGCGGATGGTGCAGCGTGAGGGTCGCGGTCCTCGTGGTAGGACTTGCTCCACTCCCGCCTCCCCCTCTGCCCCTGCCCCGGGGTGGAGATGTGCCTCTTTCGTGGCTTCAGAGCTTTTGCCATGAGGCCCATGGCTCAGCCTCCACCCAGGCCCCAAGGCCTGCCAGGCCTTCTTTATATCTCATTTGCTTCTCTCTGGGTGGTCACATTCAGCAGAGGGTCCGAAAGCCCAGCTCATCTCAGCCCCTCCCTGCACAGCGCCACATGCCTGACCCCAGAGGCTTCGGGTCCATCTAGAGAGCCATGTTCACAGATCCCGGGGACGTGACTGATCCGGCTACTCAGTTCAGTGGATGTGGGAGAGGAAACCCTGCTCCCCACCCTGCCACCCCAGGCAGTGACCTGGGAGACCCTTCCGGGCCTCCAGGGCTGTCTTTGAGGGGAAGGCCTGGTCATGTGTACTCCAAGGACAGCCTGCAGGTCCTCGGGCCCCCTCTTGCCACTGCCCGTCCACTTGCTGGAGACCCTTCGGGAGCTTTTCACCATGAGCCCATGGCCGCCTCCGTCTGTTTCCAGGGACATGGAACACAAGGCGACCTGTCATACGTGGTGAAGGACGGTGTGGCCAGCCTGTGGGCCCCCGAGGCGGCCGCGGGGCCTGGAAGGGGTGACGGTGTGAGCCCTGTGCTTTCTTCTCTCGCAGTGCGATTGGCTCAACAATTACCACCAGACCTGCAGGGACGTGATCGGGAAGGAGCTGCAGAAACAGGGCCGCCAGGAGGCTCTCGAGTGGCTCATCAGAGAGACGCAGCCTGTGTCCAAGCAGCGTTAACACCTCCAGGGGTTGTGATCGGAAATGCTCTGGGGGAAGAAGACACTGCCGGCCAGACAGCTTCCCTGTCCCTCTCTCCTCCCCTCCCTTTTCACTTTTAGACTCTTGAGGAGAGCTGAAAATCATATCCTCTTTGATATTTTCTTGCAAACACTTGATCTTTTATGATTTTTTAAATTGTTGAGTGCGAGCCGAGCCAAGAATCAAACTGCTGCGCCAGAGGAGGGGCCCCAAAGACGGGCATGCTCGCCAGGGTGACGCCTGAGCGGCTGCTGCGAGCCCTCACCGTGGCCGCGGACCAGAGTGCTCGTGTGCCAGGGCCCAGGTGCTAGTCCGTCGCTCGTGGTCCCCTCACTGCTCACGAGGCTGTATTTATGATCATCGAATAAAACGTCAAAACGCTTTGTCTCAGCCGTCTGTGTCCACCCTGGCGCCGCTGCCCGACTGCCTCCGTGCTTTCCAGGTGAAGGCCCCGTGGAGGAGAGGTCCCTGGCCTCCCTGTTTTCTGCTTAATTACAAGGCTCTTTTCTTCCTTTTTTTTTTTTTTGTTTTTTAAAGAAAACCTAGTATTTTTAGTATCTTTTTCTGATTTGAAAATATATCATCAGTAGACAGAATCAATGAAAACAGCCTAATGTCTGGCCCTGTCCGCGGTAGAAGCTGCAGGTGCTCCCTGCCCCCTGCTCCCCACCTTCCAGGCACCTGCCTGCGCCTCCCTGAGCCTGGGCTTTCTCTCTGGACTCCGCACGAGCCTGAAGTTCTGAGCGAGTCAGTGTCCAGGCAGCTTCAGGCCGGTGGGGTGAGGGGTGGAAGAGGCTTCCGCAGCCCGTGGCGTGATGTCTGGGGTGCCGCCTGGCAGTGGTATTTGCTTTCTTTCCTTCTCTGTCTTACTTAGCTTTTTCTCTCCTTATTTCCTGTGACCATCTCTCAGGAAGCCATCATGCAGATCCTGTCTTAGGCTGGTTTCTTTAGGGATCTAAGCTAAGATACAACCCCTGTTCTGTGAGACGTGTCCTCATTTCAGAGCTACTAAAGTGTAACGCAAACCCACTATGGAAACGCTGACCAAGGCGCTGTGATCTGGGGCTGGAGAAGGGGAGTGTCTTTTTCTCCCCTCTGTTTCCTTGCCCTGAAGTCCACATGGAGTGGAGACATGTTTCTGAGCAAGAGAAAGATCTTTGAAGGAAAGTGTGGGAAGTCCAGGGAGATGCCTGGGAAACCATCAGCACAGAACCTGGGTTTCCACAGAACCTGGGTTTCCACCTGCCAGGGCTGAGGAGGGCACTCTTGGGAGTCAGGCATGGACTTCAGCAAACCCCTGCAGGGCGGCGGGGCACAGGCCTCCTGAGTGTCCGACCAGCAGAGGGCAGTGCGACTCTTCGGCGAGAGCAGACACTGCCGGGAGCCAGTGGATGACAGATCCTAAAGTCCAGGGAGGATCCTCGGGCGCTCACGCGGCTGCGCTCCGTGTCTTCAGAGGTCCTACCCCCACCCCAGTACGTTGCGGCCGGCAGTAATTTTCATTTAACGAAGATGGACCAACTGGCAGCTCTGATGCATGGGGCTGCTGGGTGTGAGGGGGAAGAGGTGGCCCCTCAGGCCCTCACAGGACATGCTCTAATAGACGTGACAGGACCAGCCGTGACTACAGCCCAGGGACAGGCGTGGAAATGGAGCCGAGGAGGCTTGTGGAGAACTTCTCCAGGGTCACCTGGAGCTCTGCGCCCCCGGCACATTCTGAGTCTGCCGAGGACAGCACCCCCGTGGTTATAGCAGTCGCTGCCCCCCACCGACCCTCGCCCAAGGTGGTTCAACATGTTCTGCTCTCACCAGGCAGATTTACTTTTTTTAGAGTGGTTTTTAAGTTCACAATAAAACTGAGTTCCCACGATATCCCTTGACTCCTAGCCTCCACACCACAGCCTGCCCGTGGGTAGCCTCCCCCACTAGAGGTGAGTCAAAACTGATGACCCCCATGAACACGTGACAGTCGCTCAGTGTCCGCCCTGTATCCATGGTCAACATGAGGGTTCACTCTCGAGGTTGTAGTCGGCGGGTTTTGACAAATGCATGATGATGTGTGTCTATATTTATGGTATCGCACCTGATGATTTCACTGAAAATCCTCTATCGCCACCTATTTATCCCTTTCTGCACCCCAGCTCCTGGCCACCACTGAGATTTTACTGGCTGTATAGTTTTGCCTTTTCTAGAGTGTCAATAGCTGGAATCATACAGAATGTAGCTTTCTCAGATTGTTTTCACTAGCGATGTGCATTTAAGATTCCTCCAATGCTTTTCATGGCCTGAAACCTTTATCCGCCCCAGCACTGAGCAATATTCCATTGTCTGGATGTCTTACAGTCTATGTACCCATTCAGCATATCTGCTGCTTCTAAGTTGTGGCAATGATCAATAAAGCTGCTATACACATCGATGCAGAGGTGTTATTGTGGACACCAGTGTCCAGTGTCTTTGGGTAAATACCAAGGAAAGCAGGAACTGAATCCTTTCGTGAAAGCGTTTTTGTTCTGCTAGAAATTGCCAATCTATCTTCCAGAGTGACTGCAGCCTTTCCATTTTCACTCTAAACAGCACCCCGCTCTCCCTTTTCCTCTGGGATTCCTTTGCAGGCTTTTGTAACTTTCCCCTGATTTTGTCTAATTTTGTCTTAAGTGCGGAAACCCCATGTGGGTTCCATTCTCTGCAGCAGGAAGTGGAGGCCAAGGGTTCCCTTCTGTTGTGCCGTTTCCTGTTTAAACAAAGACTTCAAGCTCTTCTGTCACGGAAGTTTTGTGTTCACTTGGATCCGAGAGCCCTTTCCTACCCTCTCTCCGAGTTGTGCTTTGTAGCCCCAGGGAGTCTGGTTAGTTCAGCAGTTTGGAGTAGAGCATCAACAAGATCAAAATCCTTTTTTGAAACCTCTGTGATCACAGCCAACACTTTTAACCTCTTCTCTCTAGTTGTGGTGTCTTGGCTTCTCTCCCCCAACCCCCAGTCCCATCCCTTTAGTCCAAATGAGCTCATTTGGCCCCCATTTTCTGGACCAAGTCGAGCTGATTGAGTCTTTTCTCTGCCGATATGCTTCTCGCCTGTGCCCACTCCCAAGACAGAGCCTGGGCTCCTGACTGACCCTCCTGGGTGTTGGCTCTCTGTCTCCCTTGGTGCCTCCTGGGCTTGGCAGGGCATCCACATTTACCTGGGCCTGAGCTTCCTCTTACTCACTACAGGAACTCAGCTGCTCCCTGGCTTCTTTCCTTAATAGGGGTGGGGTGTGGGGCCCTCCCTGATGGCATAGTGGGTCAAAGCACAGCACTTCAAAGCCAGCTGCAGCCACTTCAGCACGAGTTCCATTCCAGCCAGGAAAGTGACCCACAAAAAACAGCAGACCTCTCCTGGCTTGCCGGCTGCTCCCCTCAGAAGTATACTTCCTTGATCTGCCTGTTCTGTTCCCCACTGTGTCTCTGGTGAGTGCTCTCCTCACTACCTCTGCACTTCTGGCCTGTACCCCAGTTCTGTATGCATAAATAAATAAATATTTTTAAAAGGATGTAGGTAACAGGCAATAATACCACCTTGTGGAAACCTGTCACAAAACTTCCAGCAGGTGCTCATTCCTCCCCTCCCCCTCCCTCACGTTTGCATTCTTGGGGCTTGCCATGTCCCAGCTTGACTGATGCCAGCGGGTAGCCTGAATATGCCTTTCTCATCCCAGACCCCAGGATTCCATGTACTTTCACACCTGGTGGGACACTCGCCCTCATTTTGGGCTTCCCAGAGTACACCGCGTGGAAGACCACCTCACCCTCTTCAACACAGAGCTTGGCCTTGTGTGTTCATGTTGTAGCGGCCCGGGGATTCTGCTTAGGTAGGGCCCTGACCTGGCACTTCCTACTCCTGTCTGTTTCTCCCAGGACAGTCCACACCCTCTGCAGCTTTGGACTCTGGGAACCAGGGGGTAGAGTGCGAAGCACACAGAACAGCTTGTGTCCACCGTGGGCACCTGATTCAGCAAGGAAACGGGAAAACACACAGCTGGCGGTAAGGGTCATCGGGACCTGTGGGGTTGCCCTGAAGTCTGGCAGGGAGATCTCGGCAAAGGGCACATGGAGAAGGTGGAGGAACCGCAAACGCTTGATCCAGTGAGCATGCGGAGTGCTGGAAGGAGCTGCCGTCCTCGCAACAACCCGGGAAGGCAGGTGCTGTTAATAATCCAAGTTTATATTTAAAGACGTTTTAAAGCGGCAGTGAAATGACTTCTCCAGCTTGCATAGCTGGCAATGATGAGAGCAGGAATTTCACCGGCTAGTCTGACCCTGGAGACCAGGCTGGCATCTGAAAGGCGTTATT